ATGTCACTGACCACATTTTACAAATATGGAAACGTCATAGAACAAACCAGATGACGTCACTATAATACGTGACGTCATTTTCTCTGCCCTATGACGTCACCTAACAACGGGCGTGATAATGGCCCGTCGTCAAGTAATATGAGGGCATTATCAAGTTACAGTCGCCCGCTCATTTCTGATAGCGTGCGGGCGGTTTAATGATAATTCTATCCATTTTAGCTATAAAAGTCAATATAGGGAATACACATATTTTGTATTTTAGTGTACTGGTTTGTTTATATTAAAAAGTTTAATTGGCATTTTTACCCTGTAAAAACGTATTATTCATCGCGTCTGGCAAATACATTGTACATTGTTATGTTAAGAGCAAAACACATTTTCCTCTTTTTATCAGTCCCATTATTTGTGTATGAGGGAGTGTATATCAAAATTATTGATATATTTGTATAAGTAGCATTTTGAGTTGAATATATATATATATATATATATATATATATATATATATATATATATATATAGAGAGAGAGAGAGAGAGAGAGAGAGAGAGAGAGAGAGAGAGAGAGAAAAGTTTCATATTTGCCTGATATAAAATTATGTTTGTCTGTGTTTGTTTGTTTGTTTGTTGTTTAACGCCGCACTCAGCAATATTTCAGTTATATGACAGTGGTCCGTACATAATTGAGTCTGGACCAGACAATCCAGTGATTGGCATCTTGAGCATCGATCCACGCATTTGAGATACGATGACATGCATCAACAAAGTCAGCAAGCCTGACCACCCGATCCCGTTAGTCGCCTCTTACGACGAGCACATAGTCGCCTCCCATGGCAAGCCTGGGTTGCTGAAGACCTATTCTGACCCGGATCTTCACGAGTAGCTTACCTGTGTCCATAGCACAAGGAATGAGTGAGGTGTGATGGTTTTATCAAAATATCACGGCGATGATAAGAATGAACCTGCTTATCAAGTGAAAGCAACTTCAGACATTTTTTTTCAAACTAATAAATATTGTGTAAGAATATTTTCATAGGCCATATAATAGAGAACATGAATAAAAAATTGTAATAAAGAAGTTGATCTTCCTACTGTGTCGTCATAATAACATATCAAACGTCCAAATGCCCTTAAAAGATGTACTGAAGTGCTGATTAACTGATCTAAGGTATCCCCACGTTTATAAAATAATTTAACCACACCCTGTACATCCTCATCATACTGGAATATCGTGAACATAATAATTATATGTATATTTAAGTATTAAACATTAAAACCCCAGCTATGTTCGATCATTTCTTGAAACCTTTAGTACCATATATTCCCGTGTTCGTTCAGGTTCGTTGACCGGAACTAGAAATAAAAGACACCAGAGAAGCCTTCTCATCTGTTTCATATTTAGTGCCTTGCATAAGGATTCAGTGAACAAAACACTATCCACAAGCCTGTATCGCTCCAGCATTCCTATAGACGCTTTTTGCTTCATGTCGAGCAATATTCAAGCAGCTCCTGCATTTTACAACTTTTGAAGTACAATCGAGCACGCTCTTTGCACAAAGCTGTCAAAGAGCGTCATACGACTCTTGCTCAAAACATGATAAGTCAGGGTACGACATTCAAGGCCTCAGTAAATCTTTCAAAACGTTTTATGGTAGGCATGTGGAGAACATTTCCAAATTTGACACATCAGTGACCAACACCATGTTCGATGCAATTCACTATTTTTACTTGATTATATAAGTTAAACTCCGTTGTGTCGAAGTTGAATACGTAAATATTTCGAGTTATCGAGGTTCCACAAAACCGAAAACGATTAATAAAGAAGGAACACGCAGGGACCAAGCTCATACTTCGAGACAAACGTAAGTTTGACACATCAAAGTTCGACACAACGGTGTTTGACTGTATACAATGAAGGCCAAATAGGGATTTCATCATGTTGAAATCGTACTCAACTTTTGGCGGAGACTATAATTTTGAAAGAAGTTTTGTCGCTTTTGTCGCTTTTATTTATATTGATGGTCATAGGTCCGATCGTTGCGCTACGACTATAGGAAATAAGTTACTGTAAAGCTGTTACGAGCAGCACAGATCAAAGATCGCCTTCTTGCACGGAGCCTGCAAGTCATCTGCTTCAAAGCGATCATACGTATACGCTACACGTAACTCCATTGTGTGACGTTAAACCCAACTCACTCACCCCAATGTGTGACATACTTACATTAGTTGTTCCGCCATTAAACAATCTGACAGGCTATTTCGGGGCTTAAAATTAAATTTACATTGCCTGCACAAAGTGATCCTCGCGCGATTGTGAAACGGATTGTGTACGACTGCGATATTACAAGATCGCCTTTTGGCGTCTATAGCAACTATCTGCATGTTTACATGTGGAAAGTATATTCTATCCACGAATATTTCAGATAAATCACTGCCCCACCCATATTCAAACATCGCCTGCATATAACAGAAATAGCCTTGTGAATGCGTTCTGTTGCTCACGCCACGAATGAATGTTCTATTTTTATTTTTCTGAAAGATAAAGCCTTGCTGCAGCCATCAATAAACATCATTCGTGACCAACTCGTGTTATTTCGGGACAAGCCGAATAAACATGTTCATCAATATTCACGATGCAATGTTTTCGTTATGAGTTTGTGAGGACGCTGGTTTTAATCCGCCATTTGAACAGTAAGTTAAAGTGATTCAAGGTTTAGACATTTACCACTTTGATGAAACCCACGAGCACGGGTATGGTGCTCATTAACAAAGAATAATAGTCCTCACGAATCCGTGCTTCGAACCTACGATCATAACATTCTGGTTGTCCAAATGAACCTGTTTAGTGAATTGGGTCACACCAATAGCATATGTATCTCATTGTGTGATCTGATAAATTTAAAGTTGATATTTCCATGACTTTAGAGATACCACGTGTTCTATACATACATATATGTGTGGAACATTTGTTAAATACCTTCTAACACATGAGTATGTGAGTTGTTTAGTCTACGACGTCCGGGGTAGAATAGGTCTTCAGCAACCCATGCTTGCTGTAAAAGGTGACTATGCTTGTCGTAAGAGGCGACTAACGGGATCGGGTGGTCAGGCTCACAGACTTGGCTGATGCATGTCATCGGATACCAAATGCATGGATCGATGCTAATGATGTCAGTTACTGGATTGTCTGGTCCAGACTTGATTGTTTACAGACCCGCTGTCATACAGCTGGAATATTGTTGAGAGCGGCGTTAAACAACACACAAACAAACAAACAAGTACAATGTCGCCAAAGAATTGGGCAGCGAAATGCGTTCAGTATCAGTGATGAAATAATTGAGTAGGCTGTTGTTTCATAAGCGCATAAATTCAGAGGCATGTGGATTGACAAAACTTGCCAATTAATGACAGGTTGCAGTGAAAACAATTCTCTGAGCGAAACCTTAGAATTAAACTAGATTATAGTTTTAAAACGTCCTGTGAAGGACATATAGTAAACTACGTTTACTACGAACACACTTATAACGAACTGACGATACAACAAATTGAACGTATTGGTCCCGGCCATTTGCTGTATACAAGTATATGTTGCATATATGCTTATAACTAATTATGGCCGGGACCAAAAAGACCCATTTGTTGTATCGTCAGTTCGTTTTAGCGTGTCCGTTATAAACGTAGTTTACTGTACTATCAATCGTCTCTTACGAAGGTAGGTAGGTTACAACGTGTGAAAGTCAGCGATAGTTTTCGTAACCCTTCATGTTTAGACATTACACTTGACAATTATGTAAACCGGTCTAAAGCGTTGGCACTCATAAATTGTGTTAGAAACAAGCAAAGAATCTCTGAAATATTGATTTTATAACAGTTTATCGAGTGATGATATCCTCCAGGCGATGTCATAGACATACGGCCGCAAACGTAGCATTAAGATTGACACACCGACACAGATCGAGCTGAGATTGATTTGTGTTATGGGTCTTGACTGTCCACACAGAGCCAATCTACTATCATGCCAAGAATGGCATATATTCATATGGAATATTATAAAAAACGTGTTATGAATTTACATTTTATAAATCCATTGCATAAGTATATCCTTTGCATTTGTAGTGTAACCACATATGATGACAATATAAATTGGAAACCAACCATTTAATAATCTGGTCAGGGATTTTGTATTGAGGCCAGATATAAGTTCAGCTACAGTTGCAAAACCAGATATTTGAAACAAAACCTATGAGCCACTTAAAACACATTGCAACATTGTCAGTTTTGTGCGAGCCATTTTTTCCCCCAAAATATGAAGCCAAATTATTTTTTGTTTGAAGAACTTTCGGGGACAATTTATTTTTTGCGATAAAATCTTCCCTCCCCTGGGGCTGGGACGGGTAACTCGGGTACTCGGGTACTCGGGTACTCGGGTACTCGGGTCGGGTTGGTCCTAAGTAGGACCCGGGTACCCACATGACTACCCGGACTCGTGGTTAGTCACGTGACATACTGTTTAATGCCATTACAATAAAACTCAATGGTTACACTACAAGTATAGCTAATGTTCACATTTCTTTCTCACTATGCAGGCATTCGTTCCTACTTTTATATGTCCAAGTAAGGATAAAGCGTCTATCAACTGCAGATTATACATGATCAGATTGTTTTATACATGTATCTAAATAGTTTTTGCCAGGGCTGCGGTAAAACAATTCCCATTCGGACATTTAGTACCCAACTCTTGAGACCTATAGCGGGTATCCGGGTAGGGCCGGGTCATAGGGTGGCGGGTACCCGGGTAATAAATTTGGACTCGTCCCCGCCCTTCGGCCTCCCCCAACCAGAATATCAAATGGACGATCCCTTAGTTGGTAAATTTACCTTAAGTCGGAAATAGTGTCATCGTTGATAACTAAAGCATGAGTGAATGTAATCGTGACGTGAGTGGTTATTAATACATATATATATATATATATACGTGTGAGGATGAGCAGCATTTCGATTTCAGAAGGATGCAGTGACGGTACAGTTTGACGACTGGCGCCAAGTTGGCTTGAGAACATCGGTGAATCTTATCTTCAGAACAACCGAAAGGACAAAGTACTTGAAGGTAAGGCTTTTCACATAGCTCTTTTACACAGTTAAATATATGGAATCCAAGAAGGGACATTGTCGCGCGACATTTTGATTTTTAGATACAATTACTCCATTGTCGCGTTGTCGCAATCAAAATGAATTCCAATTGGCAGCTATTGAAATGCGCGACTACGCTACAATCCGACATATTGATATGTTGCCGCCCTTTATCGTTATGTTACTCATGCGTGTAAATGGATTAATCTAACCATTCCCATAAATGGTTGTACTCCTTTTAAAACTCCAATGGTCTTTTTCAACTCCAATGGTTCTAACCCAAAAGTACCAATGGGTTGCTTTACTCAAAATGATCGGATCTTTAATTAGTCGTCACATATCTATATTGTCGGTGATGTTTTCATTAACAATCGTTTTCTGACTGCAAGAGTGAGTGAGTGAGTATGCTTTTACGCCGCTTTTAGCAATATTCCAGCAATATCACGGCGGGGGACACCAGAAATGGGCTTCACACATTGTAACCATGTCTGGAATCGAACCCGGGTCTTCGGCGTGACGAGCGAACGCTTTAACCACCAGGCTACCCGACCGCCCCTTTTGACTGCAAGAAACAAAATCTATGTATTGCTATTACATTTCATTCAAGTCTCTAACAACTTTTCAAATCGCTTGTCAAAGTAGAACAGGCGGTAGAATATCCCCGACGTGTTTCTGGAATTTGTTTAGGAGGACGTGATGCACGTATTAGACTTAACCACTTTGGTGGAACCCACAGGCAGGAATACGTTGCCGGGATTCGAACCATCGATCCTAGGTTTCTGGCATGCCTTGGGGGACTGGATAACGATTTGCGACGTCGACTGGGACACCCATACCGATGGAGCCCGGAATGAAACACAAAAAAACAGTTGTTTTAGACAATTTATAAGGAAACAATCAAATATATGTTTTCATTTTGAGGAAAGAAACATATTGCCATTGGTACTTTAGTTTTAGGGTCGGTTAGCTAGCCCAGTGGTTAAAGCGTTCACTATTCACACCGAAGGTCCGGGTTCGATTCCCACCATCGGTAAAATGTGTGAAACCCTTGTCTGGTCTACCCCATCGTGTTATTGATGGAATATTGCTAAAAGCGGTGTAAAACAATACTCACTCACTCACGTTGGTGTTACAAAAATTGGAATTAAGAAATACCATTGGGGTTTGAAGAGGAGGATAACCGTTTCTGCGAATGCTTACGTTAATTCACTTATTACACATGCGCACTATCAAAGAAAGAAATGGATAATCCGATATATACTGAGTCAAATTAAAAACTTAACATTTTTAAAAGTAATCCCATATATGATATACAACGGACAAATGTATCAGAGAAGGTAATTTTTAATCATTAATGTCCAAAAAAAGGATTATAATTAACGGTTTTAACCATAATTTGTTCCAAGCACCTACGGTATTCGGTAATAACATCAACAGTTTAAATCATAAGTCCCAAGCACGAGAATCTGATGGCACACAAGTTCAGTAGCGTGTATGGCCACCATGTGCGTTGACAACTGCCACACAACGCCTCCGCATGGACCTTGTGATGCTTGTGAACACATGATTGGGAAGAAGACGCCATTGTTGCTGCAAAATGGTGTCAAGATCTTGCAAATTCTGTGGTTGGTTCCGGAGAGTGCGCAGACTTCTGCCATGAGCATCCCAGACGTGGTCGATGGGATTGAGGTCGGGAGACCTTGACGGCCAGTCCATGACGTTGACTCCCGCATTCTGAAGGAAATTCCTTGTCAAAATTGCTGTGTGGGGTCTGGCATTGTCGTGTTGGAAGATCAAACCGGGTCCATGTGCTGCCATAAAAGGCAGAAGTTTTGGTGCCAGTACCTGGTCGCGGTAAGCAGCAGCGTTGAGGTTGCCACGGATGACAAGAAGCCTGGAACGTGCATTGCCACAGAAAGCACCCGACACCATGACTCTTCCGCCTCGAAATCTGTTAACTTCCTGTACACAACACTGGGCGTAACGTTCATGACGGCGCCTCCACACCCTCGCCCTACCATCAGCAAATCGGAGATTAAATCGGGATTCATCACTGAAGACGACCTGATTCCAATTCCTCTGAGTCCATCGTAAGTGTCGCTGTGCCCACAATTGACGTTGACGTCTGTGTAATTTAGATAGAATCAGCCCGCAGTATGGCCGTCGTGCTTGAAGGTGAGCAGTTCTCAGACGGTCTCGAACAGTTTGCGCACTCAGTCTACCCCTCAACAGTTCATTTCTGGTTGATGTAGCCTTAAAAAATCGGTTACGGAGGTGACGTAAGACAATCTGACGATCCTCTGCATGTGACGTCAAACGTGGTCGACCTGGCTGTCTGTAAATCATAAACAGTCCGTCGACTACAACCCATCGTCCTTGCAACTTCAGCTACGAACATTCCCGTCTGCAACATGCCGATGGCACGTTCACGTTTCACATTTGAAAGGCGTGGCATGACAAATGGCTGTAAAGACTTTTGTTTTCTTGTGTTTTTCCTTTTTTTGTTAATGACTGCTAACAAGTATGGCTGAAAACACGTGCGGTATTATGGCCACGTGACCAGTTGCACGTGAAAAACCACTTTTGCCACTATAGTGCTTTGCACATGATTTTGATCGATTCACCTGCACAAAAACGGGTGTTATCTGAAGACAACACGTGGCCATTACTATTTAAATACACAATAAGGGCCCACAATGATAACTGGTCAAAATGTTAAAATTTTAGGATTGTGAAGTTTTTAATTTGGTTCAGTATATATTGTTTGACCTTGGAAAATGTCACATTGTGGCATTATTTCCTTTTGGTAAACCCAAAAGTAATTTCATTGCACGAAGATGAGACAAATGTCGCTATGAGTGTCGTTTTGTCACGCTTTCGTTAATGATGATACTTTTTTATTTTTGTAAGGGCGACATTGCCTACAGAAAAAGGAAGTGTAGTCAAAATGTGTCGCAACAAGAAAAAAGTGTCACAGATCGACCACTCTGCCTTTTCTGCACGCATGTTTATGGCACATAGACATGTCGTGCAGCAAGCATGAAGTACTTTTAATCTGTTAATATTTATTAATATTTTGATCCAGCTACAACACAAGACTTCCACGTATCCCGTGTTGTATTGTTAACATCTTTTCTGAAACAACAAGGTCTATATCGTTTTTATTTGATGTCAAAAGCTCAATCGCACTTTTCGTTTCAGTTTACCAAAACGTAAGTCCACCAATTATTGCCCATCTGAAGAAAGATGCCAGAACAACTTCAAACCGGGGATTATGCGGCAGTGGGCGGGTACTTCGTGCTGGTGTTGGGCGTAGGAATATGGGTAGGTAATCAATGGCGTTATATGACTCCAGAGACTGTTGAACATTAATATGGACTAAATTTCAGTGGCAGCAAATGATTGAAGTGCTAGTACAATACCGGTAGCAGCGAGTGGGTTATAAGGTTATTGTCATAGTATATGAACATGGAAAACTTGATCTTTCGTGAAGTTTCGGGATGGGACAGTTTCACGAAGGTTAGCCGCATGTGAGAGAGACAAGAGGCCGATTCAATGCCTTTTTCGACCTGACTTGCACTCTATCTACTTAACAAGTGTGAGGGGCACGGATGGCCCAGTCGTCTAAGGCGCCGCGATTCGCTGTGCAGAGTTGCGTCCCTTGGGCACGCCAGAAACCTATGATTGTGGGTTCGAATCCCGGTTCGCCCCGATTATGTTTCTAGGTTTGTCAGCACCATACCCGTGCTCGTGGGTTTCACCGAAGTGGTAAATGTCTGAGACCTGCATCACTTCGGGCTTTCCTCCCACTTTAAGCTGACACGCCGTGATATAACTGGAATACTGTTAAAAGCGGCGTTAAACCCAACTCACTCACTAACAAGTGTGCTTTGGATACTTATTTGAAAACACCGAATTCCTGTCTCCTTTCATTATTTGTCAATGATAAAATTCTGGACATCCATGAGTGCACTTACATTAATCCGAGGACCTGTTACTTATTTGCTGCTACCACCAAGATCTGCACCGAGGCAGCTCCACCCAGTCTCCACTCAGGCTCGCGCCCCATGCTCCTCCGTGCCACCACGATGCATGCATTGTTAGTTACACAAGAAGTGAATTCAATGTATTTATATCAATGATTTGGTAATCCTTCCTCCCTTACAGTCCAGCTTACGACGTGGTAAAAACAGTGCGGAGGGCTACTTCCTTGCCGGGAAACACATGACATGGCTTCCGGTTTGTAATTTCTTTGTTTCACCGACGTCCTCTGAAGTCCATGATCACAACCATTTCACCTTACTATAATCACAAACAATATTAGTCAATGTATTTTTGGGGTACAACCGAACATGCTCTTTCTACAAACAATTGAAAAAAGCGTTATACGACGCTGAAAAGTTGTTTTAGTTTTAACATTCAAAGCCTCAAGCAATGTTGTATGGCAGACATGTGTAGGACATGTCCATCTTCAAAGACGACCGTACAGCTTATTATCTTAATACCTAACAATTATTGATCGTTTTAATAAAAAAAAGATACTCAAGTGTTTAAAATTGTGATCAGTACCAAACTGACGACGCCCTTTATGAAGAATATAATGCGCTCATTATTAACACAAAACTAGTTGTCTTGACAACACTGTTTACTTTTTGCTTTTACAGATAGGGGCATCACTGTTCGCAAGCAATGTTGGTGCTCCCATGTTCATTGGCTTAGCAGGCGCCGGGGCTGCATCCGGGTACTCAGTTGTGGTTTACGAATGGATAGTAAGTTCAATAATACACACGTATACGCGCTGCATCTGGTAATCTCAATGTTAAGTTGTCATATTTGGCATTTACATCTGGTAGTGATACAACATAATTGGTCTAAAGGGTCAGTAAAGTAGCCAAAGCATTGTCATATTTAACACAAGATTCGTGTACGAGAATATTTTGCGTTCTTTTCTGTCTTTGAAAACTGAGAGAAGCCTTCGGTTTTTTCATTTTAGATACGGTTAATTCATAATGGTTAATGCATTTGTATTTATTTGCAATATCAGGTGCGAGTTTTAAATGAAATTAAGAGGTATCAAATAGCTTATCTCTAAATATACAAACCTACATATGTATGTACATCCTCTACATGGCAGTAGACCCGTGAAGAACCGGATTAAAACTGGTCATCAATAACCCACGCTTGTTACAGAGGCGACTGTGCTTCTCGTAAGAGGCGACTAAAGGGGTCGGGTGGTCAGGCTCGCTGACTTGGTTGATGCATGTCATCGTATCCCATTGCGTAGATCGATGCTCATGGTGTGAACCACGAGATTGTCTTGTCCAGACTCAATTATTTACAGACCACCGTCATATACCCCGAATTTTGCTTATTGCGGCGTTAAACAACAAACAGACAACAAACAAACTACATGGCAGTAAGAAGTTCATTCGTCTTTTTAGGCATCTTTCCTGCTGATTAGTCTTGGATGGTTTTTCGTTCCTGTTTTTGTCGCCAGTGGGGTAAGTCATGATCAACTGACAAATTTACGTTTAACTCCCGAATGTGACATAAGTATATACCATTGGTAACCTACTGCCTAATAGTTCATTCCGCTAACACGCGTTGAGGAACGTTGAGAACACGCATGTGACACGGGTGCTCAACGAGTTGCACACGGGTTGACTATTTTTTCGTAACGAGTTACGGTACTTCACTAAATATCCTAATGGACCTTCTATTATAAGAAATACATCTTTTTGTAGACCTTTCAATTTCAACTGTTATAAGCTACTAACGTTTAAATGTATCTAATTTTACCGTTAAAAAGGTTGTTGAAATATGTTATTGTGTCAAACGTATTTAAATTTATCTTCACACGCAGCGCTTGTTGCATTAACATTCATAGATTATCATCATCAATGTTTAGGTTTTACGTCAACTTCACAGTCCTGTATTTCATCGACGGGGTAGGTCGGGTTGAATAATAAATAATATGCTTAATGGATATAAACCACCATACTTAATTGTGGGGGAAATGTTTAATGTCATACAGTACATTACATTATTAAGTATAGTATAGCTATATATATTGACTATAAGTTATACATGATATTTATATGTAAATACGGGTTGAGTCCCATTTCGCCTACATCCCACTTTGCCTACAGAAAACATGTAGGCGAATAACCGGTTTGATTGTGATAACTGTCACACCTGACTTATATGTCTGAATGACACGTCTGAAAACAAGGGGTGAACCGTTACACAGTAATTCGGGGTAACGATTTTCTGTGCTATAGAATCAAAGTATCGTTGTGCTGCATGTATATAGAGTACATATAACTTACGATGATATGTTTTTCCTAATATGTACGATGTATGGCATAAGTATATACACTTAAAAGTAGACACATGTTACTGACAATAATGACAGAGAGATAAATAAACGAAGGACGGGTAAGTATTATTACCTTGGTTAATTAAAAGTTGCCATTTTTTAAACAGTTTTTCATAGTATGAAAAATATGATGGTGCAGAAAAAAACCTAGCAATTAACACTATAACCGTGATGCAATCGCGTTACTTAATACAACCCACAAAGAACATTTTTTTACTATTTATTCCTTATTTGATATCAATAATTCATTTATGGATACCAAAGAATGAATTTATATCACAAATGTTATTTTATTTATCATGAAATGTTTATTAATATAGCAAATCGGTTTTTAGATATCAATAACAATATTTATTATCAAATAACGTACTTTATCATCTAAATAATCGAGTATCGTATTGTATTTCAAGCCTTCGTCTCCGTGAACTTTATGCCCATTTTTTAATAATTCGTGAAGATAGGTAGAGTATCGTAACATTTACATATAAAGTCATATCCAGATTATGTCTCTACATATAAGTAAGGGCAAGCTTCTTCCCTTTGTTTAATCAGTGTTCCTCCTGGATATGAATGTGGAACACGGGCTTTAGGGTTACATATGTATCTTGTTATCATTGTATTTTAATGCGATTATGATGTTTCTAGGATCAAGAAGAAGCTATATTGACAGTAGCGCAGGGGATTTATTCAACAAGCCCGTGAAAACAACACAGCTTTGGCTCAATGTTTACCTCTCCTGGCGGCCATTATGCAACGGCCATCTTACACACAACCCCGCGCTCACGTCTACAGGTCTCTTCCTGTGGTACGGTAATTAGTAGAACCCTCTCTCCAAAGTGAATCCTCCATGATATAACCTAGTCTCATTAATTAAATGCTGCCCCTCCCAATCGTCACGGCTATGGAGAGACCCAACCATCATGAAGTAATTAGCATCCAATAAAAACAATGCTCCGCCAAACCTCATAAACATGATCACTGAAAGTCGTACTACAGACGTTTAATCTCAAATCACAAAAAAAGCATGTGAATAGGAATAACTTTTAACAGGATCATGTATCTCTTAACACCATCGCAAAACATCATGTAGAAGCCTTAAACAGTACTTATATTTTCCAACAAAATCACATCTAAAAATGAGACATCAGCAAGTACATATAATAAAATGTCAGCAAGTACATATAATAAAATGTGTATTAACATTTTTCGTCAGGAAATAAAAACACTATCTCCTTGTTTCCACCTCCATGTTCAGCTAAACACGGGTTCTCCTTTGGTCAAAAGTTTGTTCCCCCTGTAATGAGTGTGACACGCGTTGCACACGGGTATCACACGCGGGGCGGACGGGTTCCACACGAGTGACCAACGGGGTGCACACGGGTTGCGTAACACGTTGCCCATGCGTGTAAAGGGAATGAACTAGGCATGAATGAACTAGGCAGTAGTGTATAATATTCACATTCAATAATAATTACACGTATTTGGATGTCTAATAGAATGCATAAATGTCTTCGAAAAAGTAGAAAAAGTTGATGAATAAAAATAATTTCAATTAATTGAGTGAGCTTACCGTCAAGTGAATCTGATGCAATGAACACACAAAGCCATTTAGAAAGTGGTCAAATTAAACAAATGTTATATTTGGGATAACACTTTCTGAATAAAGTACAGACTCTCGTAATTGTTGGGGTCGAGCCCCGCCCGGGATCCGAACCCACACTGCGAGAGTGAGGCACCTAATCGTCAGCACACAATGTCAGCGATCTAACCCAATCAGCCACCGAGGCTTTCACAAAAACGAAAGTCCGACAACTGGTAGTCTAGATCACGTACTTTGCGTATCCCTCTGACAAGTGTAAATTGACGCAGCTCCCATGTCCGAAAGCTATATGAGCATACACTGTCATTTAGAAAGTTGTCAAATGCATCAAATGTTATATTTTGGATAACACTTTCTTTGTACAGTACAGATTCTAGTGCTAATTTGAACTAAGATTAAAGGATAACGGAACACGTAGAGGACTCTGCACGCCAATGTGTTGTCTCTTTAACGACTGGTTCACCGTTCAGAAAGGATTACAAAAGTTACTATTCGAGAAGAAATTATTAAAAATTCAGTAAATTGAATTAATGTTGCTTCGCGCAAAACGTATTTGTTCCTGCAGTCAGATAAATCTGTTTAATATAACACCGAATCTTCATCCTCTGTAGGCCTACACTATGCCTGAATATCTGAAGAAGCGGTTCGGAGGAGTTCGTCTCAGAATCTGTCTCTCCATCCTTGGGCTGTTCCTGTACATCGTTACGAAGATATCGGTATGGAACTTGTGTTAAACAATTGTTAAATATTATTTAATAAATGCATATAAAGATAAGATAGGCATATTTAGTACACAACCGTTATATAGAGGCTAATTACTGTTGGTTCACAAATATACTGCCGTTTCGAGTAGCATGGTGAGGTCCCACCACCGAACGAGACCAGATAAACTGGTTTTTATTCAATTTCTTATTGCATAATTCATGTAATAGAAGGAAGACAAAAATATTTTACACATATTGTATTATTTATATATACTGACGGACAAAAGAAACTTTACCCCATTAATAAGCAATTGCAAAAAATTAATATCACAAGTTCAAACTAAATCAATGCAAAACACACCGTCCACGCACAATGCTCTGTGTTGAAAGTGATACACGGGACGTTTTTTGTGAAATGCGAAAAGTGAAAAAGTCGTGCTGCTTGGGCAGTCCAAACTACACGTACAGTAAGGGTTTACAAATGATACGGAGGGCATGTCAGACACTTACACTAATAAAAAAACCCCATACCACCACAGACTGACACCCGAACAACGCGAGTGGGCCCTGGGTCTGATACAGATGGGACCCACCAGTGCCCACATTGCTCGAACTTTTGGTTGCTCCCGTGTTGCTGTAACTAAGACCGTTACAGACAGACCATTCAGACATCGGACAGGCCAAGGGCAGGCAGACCGAGGGTAACTACGCCCAATGAAGACCGGTACTTGCGTAATTTGCATCTCCGGAATCGATTTCTGACAGTGACGCGTTCAGCGACGAATGAATTTTCGTCAACAGACACTGGGCAGGCGACTCAATGAACTATGTCTAACAGACCTTACAGAGGACAGTTATTGACAGCGCAACATCGTCGTCAGAGATTGAGATGGCCCAGGACTGTACGTCGTTGGCAGTCACGTGACTGGCAGAGGGTCGTCTTCACTGATGAAAGTCGGTTCTGTCTGTTCATAGCTGAAGGATGACAGCGTGTTTACCTCCGAAAGAGAGAGAACCAGCGTCGGCATGTTGCGTTCAGGAGATCTTGTCGTATAGTGGAAGGGTGTTATTATGTGGGGAGGAATTTGTGAGAGAGAGAGAGAGCAGAGAACAGCCCTGGTCTCCGTCAACGCATATTTGACAGCTCAGCGTCACATGGATGACATTCGTCGTCCGATTGTACTACCATTTCCACAACAGCTACCACGAGATGTCCTTTATCAGCATGACAACGACAGACCCCATACAGCCCGAATCGTACAGGACTGCCCTGCAGCCAACAACGCCAACGTGTTGCCGTGGCCTACACGCTCCCCAGACATGTCCCCCATAAACACCTTTAGGATGACATGGATCGCCGTGTTCGACAGCGACCACGTTCTCCATCCAAACGACAAGAACTGACACAGGCCCTCCAAGAAGAATGACTGCGTATCCCAATTGACTTCATCTGTGCACCGGAGAGTGAGTGAGTGAGTGAGTGGGTGAGTGGGTATGGTTTTACGCCGCTTTTAGCAATATTCCAGCAATATCACGGCGGGGGACACCAGAAATGGACTTCACACATTGTACCCATGTCGGGAATCGAACACCGGAGAGTTTTTGAATGTAGCGGAGAGTGCTCATACACGCTATTTATGTGTCGTGTCACTGCACTGGAGGTATTTTAGATTCATGTGCCCCTTGTTGAAAGCTTGTTTTTGCTACCCCACCTCAATTCGGACAACTGTCATGCTAATATCGGATGCTGTATGACTCCAATTTTTAAATGTTTATTTCGTTGAGATTTTGTTCTTTGCAATACATATTACTTCAGGCATCTATCTTTTGTGGTTTTTAAACTAGAGTGATTTAAAACTATAGTAAAGTTTCTTTTGGCCCTCAGTTTATATGTATTGTATAAAGAGGGAGATGAACACCATACACTTTGCAGAACATATCTCATGGTGTCTGTAAAACTTTTATGTGGCAGTGTCTGATATCATATCAGGTTTTAAAATATGAGTTCGTTGTCATTCGACAAAGATATCATATCAGTTCATCGTCACTCGGCAGAGATAGGATATCAGTTCATCGTCATTTGGCAGATAGGATATCAGTTTATCGTCATTTGGCAGATGGATATCAGTTCATCGTCACTCGGCAGAGATAGGATATCAGTTCATCGTCATTTGGCAGATAGGATATCAGTCCATCGTCACTCGGCAGAGATAGGATATCAGTTCATCGTCATTTGGCAGATAGGATATCAGTTCATCGTAACTCGGCAGAGATAGGATATCAGTTCATCGTCATTTGGCAGATAGGATATCAGTCCATCGTCACTCGGCAGAGATAGGATATCAGTTCATCGTCATTTGGCAGATAGGATATCAGTCCATCGTCACTCGGCAGAGATAGGATATCAGTTCATCGTCATTTGGCAGATAGGATATCAGTCCATCGTCACTTGGCAGAGATAGGATATCAGTTCATCGTCATTTGGCAGATAGGATATCAGTCCATCGTCACTCGGCAGAGATAGGATATCAGTTCATCGTCATTTGGCAGATAGGATATCAGTCCATCGTCACTCGGCAGAGATAGGATATCAGTTCATCGTCATTTGGCAGATAGGATATCAGTCCATCGTCACTCGGCAGAGATAGGATATCAGTTCATCGTCATTTGGCAGATAGGATATCAGTCCATCGTCACTCGGCAGAGATAAGATATCGGTTCATCGTCATTTGGCAGATAGGATATCAGTCCATCGTCACTCGGCAGAGATAGGATATCAGTTCATCGTCATTTGGCAGATAGGATATCAGTCCATCGTCACTCGGCAGAGATAGGATATCAGTTCATCGTCATTTGGCAGATAGGATATCAGTTTATCGTCATTTGGCAGATAAGATATCAGTTCATCGTCATTTGGCAGATAAGATATCAGTTTATCGTCATTTGGCAGATAGGATATCAGTTCATCGTCATTTGGCAGATAAGATATCAGTTTATCGTCATTTGGCAGATAAGATATCAGTTTATCGTCATTTGGCAGATAGGATATCAGTTTATCGTCATTTGGCAGATAAAATATCAGTTTATCGTCATTTGGCAGATAGGATATCAGTTCATCGTCATTTGGCAGATAAGATATCAGTTTATCGTCATTTGGCAGATAGGATATCAGTCCATCGTCACTCGGCAGAGGTATCATATCAGTTATTAGTCACTCGGCAGTGATAAGATATCAGTTCATCGGCGTTTGCTTGTGGTAGAGATACTAGGTTGACCGAACCACCCTGGGTTGGAAAGTGTAAAATAACAAAAATGAAATTTGTATTTATTGTCAAATATGATCGTCTGATCTAATGACCAGACAATTTTGACATTTTTACTTTTGGCGGTGATATATGAACTTTGTCCGTTCACTCGATGTGCACTTTAATTATTAATTTTTAAAATCACTTTTCAGATTGAAATCTACTGCGGGGCTGTGTTCATGCAGCTACTTCTTGGCTGGAATCTCTACATGTGCATCATTGGCATACTGGCCGTTACAGCTCTATATACAGTCATAGGTACATGTGTAAATACTATAATGTAATCACACACACACACACACACACACACACACACACACACACACACACACACACACACACACACACACACACACACACACACACACACACACACTCTCTCTCTCTCTCTCTCTCACACACACACACACTCTCTCCCTCTCTCTATCTCTCTCACTCACTCACTCACTCTCTCTCTCACACACACACACACACACACACACACACTCTCTCACACACACATACTCTCTCAAACACACACACACACACACACACACACACACACACACAACACGCATTGGAAATGGTTAGATCTGTCATGTCAAAGGTCAAGGTCATAGCTTGGAAACGTATGTTTACCGCCAAACCCAAGAAGATTTGACTGTATGTCAATGAATCATATATATTTCACCCTAAGGGCGGGCCGTGATAGTTAAATGTCGTGACCTACGTGTAAGTCGGGTCACGGTGAAGGTCGTTCGTAAAGTATGTTTTCCATTTTACCAAAATGGCTTATTATGTGTAGATATGTTTTAAATATTATTTTATCAATCTTCATACACTCAAGGAGCGGTGAGGGTAGTCTAGTGGTTAACGCGTTCGCTCATCACGCCGAATCCTTGTCCAGTTTGAAACTTTTACTGAACTTTCAATTTGAAAAGCACTGTAAACGTGTTTGCCGAACCTTAAATGATGTCACTGGTCTGGAAGTGATGCCATTGGAGCGAAAAGCTTTTATGTCTCTCAATATGGTAGCTAGAATAAAGGTACAACAACCTGGTATGAGGTTTCTTAATTAATCAGTTTGCTTTAAGTGAGTGAATGAGTTAGATTTAATGCCGCTTTTAACAGTAGTACAGTTATATCACGGCGTGTCAGCTTAATGTGGGAGGAAAGCCCGAAGTGATGCAGGTCTCAGATGTTTATCACTTCGGTGAAACCCACGAGCACGGATATGGTGCTGACAAACCTAGAAACGGGGCGAACCGGACGCAACTCTGCACAGCGTATCGCGGCGCCTTAGACGACTGGGCGCCTTTACGATGCACACTGGAAAACCAATTTGAAAGCAGTAGCTAATTCATTTTCTCCTGTATGTTTATGGGTATAAAATGTTTCTTATGAACCACATTTATGCTCAATACATAATCTTTCTGAATCTCGTTGCAGGCGGTCTCGTTGCAGTTATGTACACCGACACATTACAAACATTTATAATCTTAATAGGAGCCTTTATTCTGACATTCAAAGGTAAGCTGAACACAGGTATTTATAATTCTAAAACGAATGCGGAAGTTTTGCCACTGCTTGATTGGTTGAAATACTGACTACAAAAGTCCAGTTTCACCCGTTGCCGAGCTAGGTTGGAATTTCGTGGCTCGATCGTAGCGCCACCAGTGGCTATTGCGAGTAATGTTCCTCCTATTGACCAATCAGATTGAAGCTCTCATATTACTTTTATTTGCTTCAAAGAATATGGCGGCGTGCAGTCTGATCGATAATCAAGATCAATATTGTTATAAAGCGGACCTTACCTCGCGAAGTGCATAAAATGACGTGAGGACCTTGATTACAAATATTTGGCAAATATCTGTCGACGCCCTGTTTGCGGTACGCAGGGTAGAAACTAGACTTTCATAGTCAGTTAACTCCCTTGGCTCAGGAAGAGGCATTGCGTCTGATTTGTTTCATCAGTGTTTGGAGTGAGTGAGTAAGTTTGGTTTAACGCCGCTTTTAACAGTAGTACAGTCAAATCACGGCGTGTCAGCTTAATGTGGGAGGAAAGCCCGAAGTGATGCAGGTCTCAGACATTTACCACTTCGGTGAAACCCACGAGCACGGGCATGGTGCTGTCAAACCTAGAAACATAATCGGGGCGAACCGGGATTCGAACCCACAAACATAGGTTTCTGGCGTGCCCAAGGGACGCAACTCTGCACAGCGAATCGCGGCGCCTTAGACGTGCACCCGTGGCCCAATTCATAAACAGAGAATACCTTGTCACTTTGATACACGCTGGGTGTGTATTTGGTTCAAGGCAGACTTTAAGCATGGAACGTATTAATACACACAAACTGTTAAGTATGTACTATACATCACTCGTAGTTAGGCTCATCACGTTTCAGACATCCTCATTCATTGTATCATGGCGTCATAGCATTCAAGGGGGCGGTCGGGTGGCCTAGTGGTTAAAGCGTTCGCTTGACACGCCGAAGACCCGGGTTCGATTCCCAACATGGGTACAATGTGTGAAGCCCATTTGTGGTGTCCCCCGCCGTGATATTGCTGGAATATTGCTAAAAGCGGCGTAAATCCATACTCACTCACTCATAGCATTCAAGAGAAACGCCTTGAACGTTTTGCTGCTGTTTTTGCCAACATATTTTTCTAAGATTTTCTCATGTTTTGGACTTTTCGAATGTAACATTTAAAAGTTCTGGGGTACGACTCAGATTCCAAATGAACTCCTAAATGTAGTGTGTTCCTTGGTCTTCACTCAGAATACATACAACTAATTTGTAACACCTCTAAATAAATGGTTGTTTCCTTCTTGTCACAGTTCTTAAAATGCAAGGTTTTTGCGTTTACCTGTAATAAAAATGGATTTTGTTCAGGCTTCCAACAAATCAACGGCTTCGGGGGTTTAGAAGAAGGTTTTTTGACTGCTGTCTCCAACACAACTAAGACTAACGCCACTCACTACACCTGTGCTCTTCCCCCGAAGGACTCTTTGCACATCTGGAGAGATCCTGTGGATGGGGACATTCCATGGCCAGGGGCTGTCTTTGGCCTAACCATCATAGCTGCGTGGGTGTGGTGCACTGATCAGGTAGATACATAGAAGCATGTCAGTTCAGTCATGAATTCTTTGTTACATGTACGTCCTGTCATGGGTCCCTGATTTTGATCCTTGGCTTGTCAGAACCATATTCTGATAAATAACGAGAATCATTGACACCTACGAAACTTCATCACATTATATCTGTGTCATAATTCAATTTAGACCGCCTCCGTGGTCTAGCGGTAGAGCGTCCGCCCGGAGAGCGGAAGGTCCGGGATTCGATCCCCGGCCGCGTCATTCCAAAAAGACGTTAAAAGATGGTACTTGTTGTTACCCCGTGTGGCACTCGGCATTAAGGGGCTAAAGCAAGGACTGGTCGGGTCGGAGTCAGTATACTGTGTCTGAGTGGGGTATCCATGTTAAACTGCAGCATGGTATCTCAGTGAGCTAGCACTATAAATTCAATTTAAAAGAAAGTCTCAGTGATTTTGCACATACAAAAGTCTCTGTATGGATTAAACTTATTATTGAAACGGTATATCTAAATGTTGCCGTCAGGGTTTTCAAGAGAGAGCTGCTGACATGTTGAATTAAGAGGAGGAAATAAGGACAAGAGAGATAAAAACCAAGATAAAGCTTACCGCTGGTATATTCAACAATGAACAATGTCTGTATTCATTTGTCCATTGGCCCAGACAGTGAGAGCTAGGTTTTTACCTGTGTATCAATGTTGGTACCAAATATAAAACACCAACGCCAGTCAAGAATCAATCTCAGTTATCTCCTGATTCTTTAAGGTATAAAAAACATATCAGTGGTGAAAATTATATCACCAGGTGTTCGCCAAATCAGATAGAGCTGACATTTCCAGCCATCCAGCCATTGCTCTTCATGTTCAGTATGGTCTTTCAGTTGATGGTCCAGCGAGCGCTCTCAGCTAAGAACATCAGTCATGCTAAAGGTGGATCCCTGTTTGCCGGAGCATTGAAGATATTACCTTTCTTCCTCTGGATTATTCCAGGGATGATAAGTCGCATCCTCTACCCAGGTACAATTATAACAATTTATGATTCCACAGGACATATATATCGCTTAGTTGAGAATGCTTCAATGAAATTGCATCACAATGCTTTGCAGACTATTTGTGACATCAGTAGGTATGCTGTCACAATCAAATGATATCACTAATCTCTCTGCCACTGGTTAGCTGTACTTTACAAACTGAAAAATGGGGAAGAATGATTTGCCTGATAAATAGAAACTCACCTTTGATCTAAGATCTATCAACACTGGTCAAAAAGGGATTACAGCTTCTAGGAGTTTTATACTTTTATCCACTCGTGTTGATAGATTTGGTATAAAAACACTTGATTGGTTGGTTGGTTTGTTGTTCAACGCCGCACTCAGCAATATTCCAGCTATATGACGACGGTCTGTAAATAATCGAATCTGGACCAGACAATCCAGTGATTAATATCATGAGCATCGATCCACGAAATTGGGATCGATGACATGCATCAACAAAGTCAGCGAGCCTGACTTCCCGATCCCGTAAGTCGCCTCTTACGACAAGCATAGTCGCCATGTACGGCAAGCATGGGCTGCTGAAAGACACTTAAGGTGAGATTCCTTATTGCTAGACACATGATATGAACTCTCGTCACGATATGGATGAAATATTGCCGATGCGACGTAAAGCATTAACTCACTCACTTGATAGGAACTTTACTCATTTGACATCGAGAGTGTCAGTAAACCTTACACCTTAATGATCGAGGGGCGGTCGGGTAGCCTGGTGGTTAAAGCGTTCCCTCGTCACGCCGAAGACCCGGGTTCGATTCCCGACATGGGTACAATGTGTGAAGCCTATTTCTGGTTTCCCCCGCCGTGATGTTGCTGGAATATTCCTAAAAGCGGCGTAAAACCATACTCACTCACTCACTCACTCACTCACTCACTTAATGATCGAACATCATTCTGGCACCACCAGGGGATGGCATCAGTTCTTGATATACTTATAACAAATGAGATATCAATTTTTTTTAAAAACTTAAAAACGTGAATAAGATCAATCATAATGTATATTCCATACACCATGGGACATGTCGTATTGTTACTTACTTTGTAAACTGAACACGAGACACTACAGATAATTCATAAATGTTGTAATTCCTTTTATGCATCAAATATTCAGCAATGACTATTATCTTCCTTCAGATGAAATAGCATGTTCTACTCCTGAGCGATGTTACGAAGTATGTCGGAACAGAGCTGGATGTACGAATATCGCCTACCCTCTCTTGGTGCTGAGGCTATTGCCGGAAGGTATATTGGAAATCATTGTGCAGTTTTAGAAATTCTTCTATTTATTTCATAACTAAATGGTGACAAGACTTGATATAGTGTACCACACAAGAGGAAGTCTGTGAAATGCCTTAAAAAGAGTTACTTCATAAGGTTTTTATCATGTACATGTATACACGTTTTCAAACCAAACTGAATGAAAAAAAATGAAAAAAAAGGAATATAGTTTCAACCGTTTATCAACAGATTCTTTAAACTCAGTGTTTTCTTGTTCATAGAACCATCGACATTTAACTCATTCAGAGCTTATTCAGTTTGTTGCTTGTAGGTCTCCGAGGTCTGATGCTTGCTGCTCTGCTTGCTGCCCTCATGAGCTCACTGACCTCCATCTTCAACAGTGCAAGTAGCATGTTCACGATGGACGTCTGGCCTCGGATCAGAAAGAAGCCCTCGGAGAATGAACTGATGATAGTTGGACGAGTAGCAGTGCTCGCCTGTACAGCAATAGGCATACTGTGGTTACCAATCTTGCAGCAAGCCCAGGGAGGGCAGCTGTGGGGGTACTTGCAGTCAGTAACGGCTTACACTGCTCCTCCTTGGCAGACAGTATTCATGTTTGCTCTACTGTGGAGACGGACATCTGAACAGGTTGAGTAAATCTTGGAAGATGGAGCAATCGCCCCTAACCATCCTTTAACCATCCTTTTCCCAATCAGCAACGATCAACGGACCCTGAAACGCTCTTCTGCATTTATGCATCGTTTTACTTCAGAAACAAAATCGTGGATGATGCATACAACATACTGAGTTCATTCATGTTCCCCATTAACACCCCCCAAGAATGGATTTACTAACAACCCTTCATTAATTCAAAAGGGGGCACGGGTGGCCCAGTCGTCTAAGGCGCCGCAATTCGCTGTGCAGAGTTGCGTTCCTTGGGCACGCCAGAAACCTATGATTGTGGGTTCGAATCCCGGTTCGCCCCGATTATGTTTCTAGGTTTGTCAGCACCATACCCGTGCTCGTGGGTTTCACCGAAGTGGTAAACGTCTGAGACCTGCATCACTTCGGGCTTTCCTCCCACATTAAGCTGACACGCCGCGATATAACTGGAATACTGTTAAAAGCGGCGTTAAACCCAACTCACTCACTCACTCACTCATTACTTCAAATAGTGTAATTTTAATGCAGGCATAACTACTAAGACCACGTTTCATTACAGGGTGCCTTCTGGGGTTTGATCGCGGGGCTGGTTGTTGGGATAATCCGCATGGTCGTGGACTTCACACACCCAGCCCCTTACTGTGGCAGTGAAGAGGAAGACACTCGCCCGGGAGTTTTGAAGCATGTGCATTTCCTCTACTTCGCCATGATCTCGGCTGCTGTTACTTCAGTAGTCATCGTCCTTGTCAGTCTGTGCACGGAGCCCAGATCAGAAGTTCAGGTAGGGCTGAAGGATCGTAAGAGATGCCTCAAACTTTTAGCATCTGCGGTTAGAAGGTAATGTAGATTTATGAAACACCTATGATACCAGTATATGAGGAAATACAAGTAGACTGAAATAAAACTAGAAAAAAAAGATAAGTTTTAAAGTTCAATGTCATGGCAACTGCACGTTTGTCTGTTTGCTTCGAACATTATTTCAGTTATCTTAAGGAATGTCAAGCTTATGTCAGAGGAAAGTGTTTGTTTGTTTGTTGTTTTAACGCCTCACTCAGCAATATGATGGCGTAGTGTAAATAATCGACTCTCGACCAGACAATCAAATGATTGACATAATGAATATCGATCTACGCAATTTGGATACGATGACATCGATCTACACAATTTGAACACGATGACATGCATCAACCAAGTCAGTGAGCTTGACCACTTAATCTCATTAGTTGCCTTTTATGACAAGCACAGTCGCCTTTTACGACAAGCATGGGTTGCTGAAGGCCTATTCTCTACCTTGATCGTCACGGGTAGGAAAGTAGAGCAGGTCATAGACGTCAACCACTTAGGTGAATCCCACGAACACTGGTTGGTGATGACAAACCAGTTATCGTGATAGTAACGGATTCTGACACGCCTCAGGGATGCTATTGTGCACAGTGAATAGCAGTTCTCTTGATTATTGAGCCATTCTCTTCTTGTCCATGGCGGAAGTTTTCAGTGACATGCTGTATCAGCGGCTGTACTGCACTAGAGAACACCACCAAAAATCTTCCACTTCGATTTCTCACATATTTTCTTGGTCTATTCATTTGGACTGATTCACAGATTTCACTAAACAATATGTACAATTACTTGCCCTACGTAACACATATAAAATAACCAAACCGTAAAGGAGTATCAGGACTCATGCATAGGAAATGATACTTACAGATTGGGCGCACTACGTGGTGGACACGCCACAACGCTGATCCAGACTTGGACCTAGAGAAAGGAGAAGGTGACATCAATTTAGAGAAGGTAAACGACAGTGATGACAACGAAGACAACGATTTTGAGAAGATAGAGGAAAATGGTGACGCCATAACTGACGAAAATATGAAATCAGCCGAGGTAGAAGACGGCCAGTTTGACACTGAGGTGCACCGTAAGTTTCGTCCTGTTATAACATTTCTGATCTATCTCAATATGGTGCATATTACCCTGTTCTGCACAATCTGCTTGCCTGTTTATGCTTCTGCTGTGAGTGAGTGAGTTTAGTTTTACGCCGCTTTTAGCAATATTCCAGTAATATCACGGCGGGGGACACCAGAAATGGGCTTCATACTTTGTACCAATGTCGTGAATCGAACACGGGTCTTCGGCGTGACGAGCGAACGCTTTAACCACTTGGCTACCCGACCGTCCCAACAATGCAAGACATGTCGTCTCATGCTTTCAGTCAGGATTGTACTACGTGTTTACCAGATTTTAAATTGAGGGACTACAAATACATACATAATCACTTTCTTGGGATATTTTCCTGTTGTTTCATTCCACGGTATTCCTGTTGGTCTATGCTTCGGTTCATGTGGTGAATAACACAACTCAAATAATAATTGTCACTTTACATTTTCAGACATTGCTCAACACCTATTGAAAACGTAATCTAGATACTAAGTTATGATCATGCGACACATTAAGAATTATTGTGATTACCATATAGGCGAAAAGACAGTTGCTTACATATAACTGTTCGAGGTAATTGTTTGAAGCGCTTATATAACTTTGTCAGTGATCGTCTTTCGCGGAAATTCACACGTTCGCCCGCTTTGCCCATTATCAAAGGGAAGCTACTCTAGACCATGAGACGTCACGTTTGTCTTCCTGGATATATAACGTCATGACGTTACGAAATGCAGCCAGATGACCCACACAGTGACAGGATGAACAAACGGACTTTCTGACATATTTCGGCCAGATCCAAGCACTTTATATTCGGGAAACGACCTCAAGCCGCAGAGGTGTGACAAATATATGGAAACTAGTATCTCTACTCTCTCGCTATATTGCTTCGCAATTTATATCGCCAACGATACCTATATTTGTAAAATGCCTCAGGTACTCCCCAGTTAGACGCTGATTTTGAGACTATCTATTATCTATTATAGATCCCCAATGGCATCACTGGATAACTCTAAACACTGAAAGAAAACACTGAAAATAGGACCTACCGTTGTTTATCCGTTGTTTGTTTCCTGTCGAGAGTCCTACCAATCCTATGATAAATTATTTTATTACGCATTAAATGATGAAATACTGTATTTATCTGAACTGAATATAACTGATACCTCTTTCGAGTGAAATAACGTCTTATGACACAGCGGTTTTCAAAAAAAATGTGAAACTCACAACATTTGTCCCATTTTGCTAAATACCATGTGTATCTCATCTCGTGACCCGAAAAACGTTTTTCCCCTGAAGCACGCCACTCATGATCATGAACCCATGAAGATCCGAGTTAGAATAGGCCTTCAGCAACCCATGAATGTCGTAAGAGACGACTAACGGGATAATCTGGTCAGGCTCGCCAACGTGGTTCATGCATGCCAGCGTATCTCAATTGCGTGGGTCGATCCCCGGATTGCGTGGTTCAGACTCGATTATTTACAGCTGGAATATTGCTGAGTACGACATTTAACAAAACACCAATTTTGTTAGGTTCATTGATTAGACAAAGGTTTTTTGGACAAGAGAAGCCTGATATCCTCAATATATTCATATATGTATTACACTTCTTCCATTCCATTATATTATATCTTACAGGGAAAGGTAAGGCAATATGCAAAGCTATTGCGATGTGGATGTGCGGGATGACCCAGAGGAAGTCCCGGATCCTGTCACCCTATGAACGAGCAGCCATACAGAAGCGATTTACCAGTTTGGAAGAAAATGAGACAACAAAAGCTGTGTTGAATATTAGCGCCATTGGACTTTCAATGCTGACTGCCTTTCTCTTTGGTTATTACAGTTAAAAAAAGTATCTTTTTTATGCAAATCATTAAATGTATTAATCATATGTAATAAGATGAGTCGTTCATGAACTGTTTCATCAGCTGCAATGTGTTTGCTCAAATTAAAGCTTTGTCGCTACTATTAGATTTGACAACCGCAGCCATGGATACTTCACACCTGACATATGATTTGGGGACATTGAAGGCCAAGGTCAATTGGTATGATCAAGGCATCGAAAAGTTGAACTTGAGAATTAATGATTGGAATTTGATGACACTTGGTTTACATGACCTCCAAGGCGGGTTCCGACAGCATCAACTTTTGGTCGACCGCTGTGTAAGGTCAAGGTCACCGTAGGACAAATGATTGAACATCGCTTAAATTTTGTGGATAGGTCACTGTACACCTTTTTTGAACTTGGGAAATTTGATTTTAATTCATGAAAATAATAACAAAACAGTTTTCAATGATAAATAATACATAATCACTTTCTTCTATACTCATACTATATTTCAATCACCACACGTGTAATTTCTTTTACTGCATTGGTCTTATGTTGTCATGGAATTTGGAGTTTGCATAACTGTGTTGTAAAGGTAGCTACAGGCATGCATTTGTTTGTTTTATATTACATTATCCGTATTGTTGTCATTAAACCGGTGGTGCCTAAGGTAGACAGAGGCATGGACCGATCTCTTTCAAAGTTGAACTGCATTGGGCATTTATTTTCTGAAAACGGCAGTGGTGTTATTTTACTAGAAGTGTTTATCACTTTGTCATGAATGTAGCTAGAGGCAATGGACTTTCTGTTTCTACGTTGTACTGCATTTGACATCTGTTTACTTAAATCCGGAAGTGATGTAATTAAACCGGAAGGGCTTATAACTTGTTTGGGGTGGCTATATGGCATATGTTTAAATTGTACTTCATTTTGACAACATTAGGGATCAAAGATGAATATAGATGGATGTTGGTTCCATCTTTGTTCATGATACATGTTTCTGTTGGGAAAGCTTTGGGGCACTCAAAGGTGGTGATGGGGCTTTCTGTTCTTTTGCGTGTAATGCGTACACTTTTGTATACTTTAGTCTCTTGGACTCAAAAGGATACGTCAGATGGGTACAGTGTTCCCGTGGTTAGCGGGAGCAATGTAAGAAACAATTTTAACCACAAACATGATCTAACGTTTAATACTTGCATCACAATGTGCCTCCCTATAGACATTGAAACTCTACCTGTTACTTTTGTCATGTGATCAGAGTGAGTGAGTGAGTGAGTGAGTGAGTTGGGTTTAACGCCGCTTTTGACAGTATTCCAGTTATATCACGGCGTGTCAGCTTAATGTGGGAGGAAAGCCCGACGTGATGCAGGCTTCAGACGTTTAGCACTTCGGTGAAACCCACGAGCACGGGTATGGTGCTGACAAACCTAGAAACATAATCGGGGCGAACCGAGATTCGAACCCACAATCATAGGTTTCTGGCGTGCACAAGGGACGCAACTCTGCACATCGAATCGCGGCGCCTTAGACGACTGGGCCACCCATGGCCCCTCATGTGATCAGACCGTGCGCACATGTAATTGTGAGTGAATGGCCGAGTGATTCAGTGATTTGGTTGAGAGAGAGAGAGAGAGAGAGAGAGAGAGAGAGAGAGAGAGAGAGAGAGAGAGAGAGAGAGAGAGAGAGAGAGAGAGAGAGAGAGTGTGTGTCAAAAAGGTTTATCCCAGGTAAAGACACCACGCCGGGAATCCTTTATTGGCAAAAATGTGACGGATACAACATTGTACATATTTATTTTATTCGCCTTCAGTATCTGCTTTTAAGTGTTCAACTTTAAACATAAATCATTAGTTAAGATAGATTAAATGTAATTAATGTGTCCTTCATGTTGTAAGCCTTAACAAACCCAAACCATGACTTGCTCAACTGATTGGCTAAGCTAACCCTGCTCACTGCATGTTCTCAGTCTGCACACCCGTAAAGTCATGTATATGTATGTATTTTGAAAGAGATTTGTAATCGCTTTACACTTAGATAATATAAAATATGAATAATTATTCTATTTGGTTCTTACATCAGTTAGCAGATCATTGTACAGTGTAACAACTAATATATGAATAAGATGTGTTTGTAATGTAAAACGGTTTGTAATACTGTGATGTCGATGACTGCATTATGTATATTGTTAATATTACTTATCATTCCTTTAATATGTTTCAGGGTGTAGATACTAGATAGATAAATGACAAATCCATTGGCTGAATTCACTGCCCTGCTATAAAAACACAACGTTTGTTCTAAATTTCTAATGTACATTTATGTTTGTGTTTTTCATTATGACGTCAACGGTCTTCACTTTGTACTGTTTGAACATGTGAATTTTAAGTGCAATAAATAACTTTGACTAGCCCAATGTCGTTATCACTTGTTCGTTTAAAACCTCTGTTGCCAGGCCATTGTAACTATGGGAGGCCATCCGTGGTGTGGCCCTTATGTTACAAGTAAGATCAGTTAGTAATACATGTGCTGTTCTCGTGACATCAATGAGGGAACGTATCATTGTGAGCCTCTCATTGTTGACATCACCACTAACGGAACTCTCATTTCGAGGACCATTCGGTGCCCGGATGTATCCCCCGGTGGCTAAAGCCGCAACAAGTGTGTGCAGAGTTACGGCCCTTAGTTGTAAAGCACCCGCTGACATGTAAACTTTGTAAACATGAAAAGATTTGCAAAATATCTATCGACGCTCAGTTAGCTGTAAATATGCTTTGCAAAGCCTGTAGTCGACCAAAATCTGCACTAGTGTCTAGTTCGTCGCGCGATTTTGATTGGACTATGCATAGACTCGATAGTCCAGCCAAAATGTAACGCCGGAATTCCAGCCTAGTTAGGGGAGAGTGGAAACTGTACTTTTATATTCAGTTAACGCCCTTACCTCGGGAAGATGGGGAAGACTAGGGAACACAGTCTGGTGTTAAACGCTATACTGACATTTCTAAATAAAATGGCTATTTATTTTTACAAAAATAATTCGTGAGCCAGTTATTCTTGTGTAAAATGCGCCAGGTGCATATTGACGCTTATAACAACAAATAAATGAACTAACAATATCACACTGAAAAATTATCTCATAATGTACACCAAATTCTAACCTAAAACACTTTTGTCAAACAACAACTCATGCAGAGTTTGACAGAAAATGACTGAAAGAATCGTTGGTGGTGGATTGAAAAGCGGAATTCAGGGGTTAAACCACTCCACACCCAATCCCACTCCGTTTGAAACCCACAACCAGTAAAACCTTCCCTCCCTACCGTGGGTACAAACTGTTCGTTTGAGAAAAAGTGGTCCCGCCTCTGATGATTATTTTCCGGTAATAAACATATATCCCAAAAAAATTGATACACTAATTCTTTTTTCGCATTGACATTTATCGCAAAAATCATTACCGTGGCAAATAAATGAACTTGATATATATTTTCTTCATTTTTCATGACTACGACATCTTCATATATATCATCTATCCTGTTTTCATATATATAATGTACGTGGTGGTGAATATTAACGTGTTTCATGTTCGTTTTATAGTTATTCTTAAAGAGGCCTCATGAATATTCATATCTAAACCAGAACGAGGCTAACGTAGGGAAATTCACCTTATCATAATGGCGGCGAATGCTATTGGCTAAGAATGGTCTATTAATTTCAGGGCTTGCATAAACTGTGCATACAGAAGATTCTCAACTGTAAGTCTCGTTTATTAAAAATGGCCCGGAAATGAGGCAGCCACCCCCCTTGTGGCACGCGGGATTCAGGTGTTTGTTTAGAGGGTACTCGGGACTCATATGAAATGGCCATAGTCGCCATGCTGGCAGTGAAAGGCGACTATGCTTGTCTCAAGAGGCGACTAACGGGATCGGGTGGTCAGACTCGCTGACTTGGTTGATGCATGTCATCGTATCCCATTTGCGTGGATCGATGCTCATGATGTCAATCACTCACTGGATTGTCTGGTCCAGACTCGATTATTTACAGACCGACGTCATACAGCTGGAATATTGCTGAGTGCGGCTTTAAACAACAAACAAAACAAGATAGCTGAATGAAACAAAAACAAAAATCCAAATTGACAAAGAAACAAAATATTTTAACTTGTGTAAGAGTATACGGGTCACACCCCATCTGTGGAGTAAAGATGTCTCTCTGTATAATTAAGATAAAATTAATAAAATACAGTGTCAGATATATATGAATTTCTCACAAACATGCTGGCTGATAGCAGTCAGTCGATTGTGAGTTCAACTTCAAGCATAGTTGTGGCCACCAACCAAACCAATATTCCGATTGGCGCAAGTTGACGACGCGCATAGGGAGCCGGGAACCAGCTTAGACTTTTCTTTTGGAAGGGCGAGCAGCGAGACTGGTTCCCGTTCGTTCCTACGACAGACGACACCAAACGATAAATGTAGGTGTCATGCGCCGAGGAGGAGCTCGGATGTGACTCCATTCACAATGGCGAAATCCTATTTCAAATATTTCAGCTGTTTAGGTTATTTTCTCAAGAAAGACGCTAGAACAGGTGGTTAGAAAATGTTCTTGGCATTTTCATGAATACTGTATGTATAAGTCACGAGGGCACGAGAATAACGACTGTTGCAACTTTTAGTGAAGGAAAACATTATTTAAGCTGTTTCGAGACACGAAAGTCGTCTTAATCTATTTTCAACAGCGAGATGTGCGTTAATATTTCTTGCAGCTCGCTAGTGTTACGAATCGTATGTATTATGCAGAGAATTGAACGACCACTTCATGAAACATCGTTTTGGTCTCTATTTAGCATTTTTGATGACGCCAATATCGCCGATTAAACCTAAGTTTCTCCCGACATTTTTACAAAGAATATAGTTTCTCGGACCCCATACACAACTTTTCTCTAAAAGCGCGAGGCCCGGCTTTTACTCGAAGCTACTAATGTAAATAATGAACTTTTATCAATAAAATATGCATTGTTAGATAAAATAAATGAAATCTGATATAGAGAACACGAATAAGCATAAAGGTTAGTGAGTGCATTTTGTTCCGTTAAGCGTACATGACCAATACCGCGATATCCCGAGGTTGCAGGCTACATAGTTCTAAAACACAAGATTGAAACTTATCAGTTAGATCTTTGTCCTTAAAAGACTTTGTGGTGCTAAATTTTAAAGGTGCTCCTGGTGTTTCGTGATCGGGTCACTGGTTCTGATATTTGGTCTCTAGATTTTATTCACATGAAAATCCATTTATTGTGCATTTGTTTCATTGTTACATTTTGAAATTAATTATAAAGTTAAATAAATCTATTGATTTGGAAGACTTAATGGATAAATTTTAATGTGTTTTGGGACTGATATAATAATAAGATGAATATATTAATCATTTTTAATTAAATTTGTACAATGACATGTATCATTTGAACATAACTTTGCAACACATTCATGTGGATTTTTTTTTCACACACTATCATGCAATAGCCATTTTAAACAATATTACAGTATTCATGGTACGGCAATTAATCAACTGAACATGCTGAAAATACTTCAGTGTGACTGTGAGGTTATTGAAAATATTATGACACATGACACATCTGGCATGATAACTACTGGATATGGAAAATTACTATGCTATGATATAATCAGTGTGTTGAATGAGGGGAAAACATTTACAGTATTAGGTATTTTATCATGATACATTTCATATTATCAAATTGTATATGGTCCCAGACCCATTTGTTCTTGTGAAAACATCCTTAGGAAATGCATTAACATGATGAAGGAAGTGAGGTGAGGTGAGGTGAGGTGAGGTGAGGTGAGGTGAAATGAGGTTTAACTTCGCGTCCAAGATTATTGCACTTATATAGCGACGTGCATGTACGTGTGTGTGTTTGTGTGGCTGCTTGTACTAGTCCGGACTGATGCCGATTTATAGTGCTAGCTCACTGAGATACCATGCCGCAGTTTAACACGAATACCCCACTCAGACACAGTATACTGACTCCGAGCCGACCAGTTCTTGTTTTAGCCCCTTAATGCCAAGCGCCAGAAAGGGTAACAACAAGTACCATCTTCTAATGTCTTTTCGTATGACGCGGTCGGGGATCGAACCCCGGACCTTCCGCTCTCCGGGCGGACGGTCTATCACTAGACCACGGAGGCTGTCGGTAAAATCAAGAAAGAACCTGTTACTGAAACATGTGTCATCACAGAGAGAGAATTGTTGGAAACAGGTGATCTCAAGAAAGATACTGTTACTGACATTAGTGGAAACACTGACTGTGAGAGAGAAGGGATATAAAAAGTCAAGTGACCTGCAGGTACACAAGAGGATTCACAGAGGAATCAAGCCTTATCAGTGAGTTGAATGTCGGAAAGCATTTATACACTCAAATAGCCTTAAGTCACTCATGATAATTCACAGTGGAGTCAAGCCTTATAAGTGTGATGCATGTGGGAAAAGATTTACACAGTCAGGTGAACTGCAGACACACATGAGGATTCACAGCGAAGTGAGGCCTTATAAATGTGGTGAATGTGGGAAAGGATTTAAACAGTCAAGTACCCTGCATGTACACATGAAGATTCACAGTGGAGTCAAGTCTCATGAGTGTGTTGAATGTCGGAAAGGATTTAAACGGTCGGGTGACCTGCATGAACACAAGAGGATTCATAATGGAGTCAAGCCTTATCAGTGTGTTACATGTTGGAAAGGATTTACACAATCAAGTAGTCTACATAGACACATGAAGATTCACAGTGGACTCATGCCGTATCAGTGTGTTGAATGTGGGAAAGGATTTAAACTGTCAGGTGACCTGCAGAAACACACAAGGATTCACAGTGGAGTCAAACCTTATCAGTGTGTCGAATGTGGGAAAGGATTTACAAAGTCAAGTGTCCTGCAGACACACATAAGGACTCACAGTGGAGTGAAACCTTATCAGTGTGATACATGTGGGAAAGGATTTACACGATCAGATGACCTGCAGTCACATATGAGGATTCACAGTGCAGAGCTTGATTTAGCTACATAAAAGATGCACAAGTGCAACCTATTATAGAAAAGTGCAACCTAATCATGCTTATATTTATTTCTACATGCACTAAGCGCATGTTTAACAAATTCACATTTGTGTCTTACTTAGCCTTACTTTTCCACACAACTAGTTTGAACAGTGAATACCTCTAAAGCTTTATGGGCCATATTACCAGTGTCCGCGCTGGCTTTTGAAACTGCCAACTCTAAAATCTAACGGTCCCCCCCTTTTTTGTCAGTCCCAATTTTCAACAATTAAATAATGTATGAAAATTACCTGGTTTTAATTCTTCCAACATCATGTTCAATGCAATGACGTCATCTCTTGAGTAACTTAGTTAGATCTACACATCATTCACACAAAGTTCAGTCACAATTTTCTCTGTGTTTTAAATGTTTTGAGACTAAGTTGCTACAAATATATATTTAACCAACTGAAATCTTATCATGCTTATGCCATTGCACTAAAAATAGACAAGGGGAAATCCTGATTGTAAACTGACAGACAAGCTGGCTTCGTTCGAAAAATATACTTATATGAATATTGCTGATGTTTTGTTCAACAACATAGATTTTTACTTTGCCTGTCCACAGGGACTGGTAGTCACATGAATTACCAGTCCAACTCCAAGCCAAATTTTACCGGTAAACGGGAACACAGACTACATAATAAATCCCTTGGTTATGTGTAATTTGCCATCCCTTCTTTGGTACTGTTTGTACTTCAAGATTAGGTGCACGTTCTATTACGTTTTACGGCAGTATTTATCATCAGAGATATGAGATGTATTTATTCAGTTTATGCATCTACGTTTCATTTTTGATAAATTGATTGGACAAGAGTGCAACCATGTGGGGCAATTATGTTTTCATGTCAGCATGCACCTGGTGCAACTAAAATGTCGCTGTATGGTGAGAGCACTAGATGATGTGCCTCTGTTTAAGCCCTACTAACCAACTACCAGTTGAGCCAATAATCACCCTGACTTTGTTGTTGTACAACTGTATCCATTTATACAATAGCCATATCTTCCCGAGGCAAGAGAGTTAACTGACTATAAAAGTCCAGTTTCCAACCTTGCCGAACTAGGCTGGTATTATGGAGTTAGATTTTGGCTGGACTAACGAGTTTATGCATAGTCCAATCAAAATCGGGCACCGAAATCGAAATCCGGTTCGTAAACTCTCATGCAGACTTTGGTCGATTGCAGGATTTGCAATGCATGTTCACCGCCAACTCGTTGTCAACAGATATTTTCCAAATCTTTTCAAGTTTTTAATCAAGGTGCTCACGTGATTTGATGCATTTCGCGATGTAAGACCCGTTTTATTACAATATAGATCTTGATTGTCGATCAGATCGTCTTGACTGAGCGCCACAATTTCGTTGTTTTACGAGAGGTGGAATCTGATTGGTCCATAGGAGAGGCTTAGAAGGGACATCACTTGAAATAGCCACTGGTGGCGCTACGATCGAGCCCAGGAATTCCAGCCTAGTTCGGCAAGGGTGGAATCTGGACTTTTAAAGTCAGTTAACTCCCTTGCCTTGGGAAGATATAATATAATATAATATGATATGATATGATATGATATGATATGATATGATATATGATATGATATGATATGATATGATATAATATTTTTGAACCCATCAACAACAGAAAGCGCTGTGTGTGTACTAAAGAAACTTTCACTTTATTGAATATTCAACATTCCCATTTTGAACATCACTGTTAACACAACAGCGCCGAATACGCCAATGACTATAGCAGAGATAGCATTGAATCTAGCTGTCCGTCCATTGAAGAAGGCTTTGCCGTAGTCACCATGTTGGTAAGAATTGCGAGACTGAAATAAGGATTGATTACTATGAGAAATAAACAAAAGTCAAATTTAAAACTGACATACTCATTTTCACATGTTCATGCAAAATATTACCCAAATTACTATTACCAATTTGACTTTAACCCAATTCACCGGGGAGATCCGGGGTAGAACAGGTCTTCAGCAACCAATGCTTGAAGTAAATGGTGACTATGCTTGTCTTAATTAAGAGGGGACTAACAGGATCACGTGGTCAGACTCGCTGACCTGGTTGATGCATGTCATCGTATCCCAATTGCGTGAATCGGTGTTTATGATGTCAATCACTGGATTGTCTGATACAGACTTGATTACTTGCAGACTGCCGTCATATATCTGGAAATTTGCTGAGTGCGGCGATAAACAACAAACAAACAAACAAATATTACCCAATTGACTATTACCCATTTTTGCATATAACAATACTTGGGACATTAGATTCTTTGCACATGCAACCAAAGTATCAGATCACTTTCATGAAATACCTTGATTAAAGAAGCTGCATGACTTAAAATGTTTCTCCTTTGTCCGTTCAGTTCCTCTACGCTGTCAACCCCGATACTATTCGCTAACTGTGTCAACACAATAATGTCCATCCTGATACTTTGAATGTTCTGTCAACACTATAATGTCCACCCCGATACCATGTGACTGCTCTGCCAACACTATAACATGTAAAATGTCCATCCTGATACTATCTGACTGCTCTGTCAACACTATAATGTCCACCCTGATACCACGTGACTGCTTTGTCAACACTATAATGACCACCTTGATACCATGTGATTGCTCTGTCAACACTATAATGTCAACCTTGATACCACGTGACTGCTCTGTCAACACTATAATGTCCACCCTGATGCTATGTGACTGCTCTGTCTACACTATAATGTCCATCCTGATACTATGTGACTGCTCTGTCTACACTATAATGTCCATCCTGATACTATGAATGCTCTGTCAACACTATAATGCCCCCCCCCCCCCCCCCCCCCCCCCCGATACCATGTGACTGCTCTGTCAACACTATAACATGTATAATGTCCACCCTGATACTGACTGCTCTGTCAACACAATAATGTCCATCCTGATACTATCTGACTGCTCTGCCAACACTATAATGTCGACCCTGATACCATGTGACTGCTCTGTCAACACTAAAATGTCCACCCTGATACCATGTGACTGCTCTGTCAACACTATAACATGTAAAATGTCCATCCTGATACTATCTGACTGCTCTGTCAACACTATAATGTCCACCCTGATACCACGTGACTGCTTTGTCAACACTATAATGACCACCTTGATACCATGTGATTGCTCTGTCAACACTATAATGTCAACCTTGATACCACGTGACTGCTCTGTCAACACTATAATGTCCACCCTGATGCTATGTGACTGCTCTGTCTACACTATAATGTCCATCCTGATACTATGTGACTGCTCTGTCTACACTATAATGTCCATCCTGATACTATGAATGCTCTGTCAACACTATAATGCCCCCCCCCCCCCCCCCCCCCCCCCCCCGATACCATGTGACTGCTCTGTCAACACTATAACATGTATAATGTCCACCCTGATACTGACTGCTCTGTCAACACAATAATGTCCATCCTGATACTATCTGACTGCTCTGCCAACACTATAATGTCGACCCTGATACCATGTGACTGCTCTGTCAACACTAAAATGTCCACCCTGATACCATGTGACTGCTCTGTCAACAGACTAATGTCCATCCTAATACCACGTGACTGCTCTGTCAACACTTTAATGTCGACCCTGATACCATGTGACTGTTCTGTCAACACTATAATGTCCACCCTGATACCATGTGACTGCTCTGTCAACAGACTAATGTCCATCCTGATACTACGTGACTGCTCTGTCAACACTATAATGTCGACCCTGATACCATGTGACTGTTCTGTCAACACTATAATGTCCACCCCGATACCATGTGACTGCTCTGTCAACACTATAACATGTAAAATGTCCATCCTGATACTATCTGACTGCTCTGTCAACACTATAACATGTAAAATATCCATCCTGATACTATCTGACTGCTCTGTCAACACTATAATGTCCACCCTGATACCACGTGACTGCTTTGTCAACACTATAATGACCACCTTGATACCATGTGATTGCTCTGTCAACACTATAATGACCACCTTGATACCATGTGATTGCTCTGTCAACACTATAATGACCACCTTGATACCATGTGACTGATCTGTCAACACTATAATGTCAACCTTGATACCACGTGACTGCTCTGCCAACACTATAATGTCCACCTTGATACCACGTGACTGCTTTGTCAACACTATAATGACCACCTTGATACCATGTGATTGCTCTGTCAACACTATAATGTCCACCCTGATGCTATGTGACTGCTCTGTCAACACTATAATGTCCACCCTGATACCACGTGACTGCTTTGTCAACACTATAATGACCACCTTGATACCATGTGATTGCTCTGTCAACACTATAATGTCAACCTTGATACCACGTGACTGCTCTGTCAACACTATAATGTCCACCCTGATGCTATGTGACTGCTCTGTCAACACTATAATGTCCATCCTGATACTATCTGACTGCTCTGCCAACACTATAATGTCGACCCTGATACCATGTGACTGCTCTGTCAACACTAAAATATCCACCCTGATGCCATGTGACTGCTCTGTCAACACAATAATGTCCATCCTGATACTATCTGACTGCTCTGTCAACCCTATAATGTCCACCCTGATACCATGTGACTGCTCTGTCAACAGACTAATGTCCATCCTGATACTACGTGACTGTTCTGTCAACACTATAATGTCCACCCTGATACCATGTGACTGCTCTGTCAACAGACTAATGTCCAACTTGATACCATGTGACTGCTCTGCCAACATTATAATGTCCACCTTGATACCATGTGACTGCTCTGTCAACACTATAATGTCCACCCTGATACCATGTGACTGTTCTGTCAACACTATAATGTCCACCCTGATACCACATGACTGCTCTGTCAACACTATATTGTCAACCCTGATACCATGTGACTGTTCTGTCAACACTATAATGTCCTCCCTGATACCATGTGACTGTTCTGCCAACACTATAATGTCCACCCTGATACCATGTGACTGTTCTGTCAACACTATAATGTCCACCTTGATACCATGTGACTGTTCTGTCAACACTATAATGTCCATCCTGATACCATGTGACTGCTCTGTCAACACTATAATGTCCACCTTGATACCATGTGACTGTTCTGTCAACACTATATTGTCAACCCTGATACCACGTGACTGTTCTGTCAACACTATAATGTCCATCCTGATACCATGTGACTGTTCTGTCAACACTATCATGTCCACCCTGATACTATGTGACTGCTCTGTCAACACTGTAATGTCCACCCTGATACAATCTGACTGCTCTGCCAACAGTATAATGTCCACCTTGATACCATGTGACTGTTCTGTCAACACTATAATGTCCACCCTGATACCACGTGACTGCTCTGTCAACACTATAATGTCCACCTTGATACAATGTGACTGCTCTGTCAACACTATAACATGTATAATCGCCACCCTGATACCATGTTACAGATCTGTCAACACTATAATGTCCACCCTGATACCATGTGACTGCTCTGTCAACACTATAATGTCCACCTTGATACCATGTGACTGCTCTGTCAACACTATAATGTCCACCTTGATACCATGTGACTGCTCTGTCAACACTATAATGTCCACCTTGATACCATGTGACTGCTCTGCCAACACTATAATGTCCACCTTGATACCATGTGACTGCTCTGTCAACACTATAATGTCCACCTTGATACCATGTGAGTGTTCTGTCAACACAATAATGTCCACCCTGATACCATGTGACTGCTCTGCCAACACTATAATGTCCACCTTGATACCATGTGACTGCTCTGTCAACACTATAACATGTATGATGTCCACCCTGATACCATGTGACTGTTCTGTCAACAGACTAATGTCCAACTTGATACCATGTGACTGCTCTGTCAACACTATAATGTCCACCCTGATACCATGTGACTGCTCTGCCAACACTATAATGTCAACCCTGATACCATGTGACTACTCTGTCAACACAATAATGTCCATCCTGATACTATCTGCCTGCTCTGTCAACACAATAATGTCCACCCTGATACCACGTGACTGCTCTGTCAACACTATAATGTCGACCCTGATACCATGTGACTGTTCTGTAAACACTATAATGTCCACCCTGATACCATGTGACTGTTCTGTCAACACTATAATGTCCACCCTGATACCATGTGACTGCTCTGTCAACACTGTAATGTCCACCTTGATACCACGTGGCTGCTCTGTCAACAGTATAATGTCCACCTTGATACCCCGTGGCTGCTCTGTCAACAGTATAATGTCCACCTTGATACCACGTGGCTGCTCTGTCAACAGTATAATGTCCACCTTGATACCCCGTGGCTGCTCTGTCAACACTATAATGTCCACCCTGATACCATGTGACTGCTCTGTCAACACTATAATGTCCACCTTGATACCACGTGGCTGCTCTGTCAACAGTATAATGTCCACCTTGATACCATGTGACTGTTCTGTCAACACTATAATGTCCACCCTGATACCACGTGACTGCTCTGTCAACTCTATAATGTCCTCCTTGATACCATGTGACTGCTCTGTCAACACTATAACATGTATAATCTCCACCCTGATACATTGTTACTGATCTGTCAACACTATAATGTCCACCTTGATACTATGTGACTGCTCTGTCATCACTTTAATGTCCACCTTGATACCATGTGACTGCTCTGTCAACACTATAATGTCAACCTTGATACCATGTGACTGCTCTGTCAACACTATAATGTCCACCTTGATACCATGTGACAGCTCTGTCAACACTATAATGTCCACCTTGATACCATGTGAGTGTTCTGTCAACACTATAATGTCCACCTTGATACCATGTGACTGCTCTGTCAACACTATAATATCCATCTTGATACCATGTGACTGTTCTGTCAACACTATAATGTCCACCTTGATACCATGTGACTGTTCTGCGAACACACTAATGTCCGACCTGCTACCATGTGACTGCTCTGTCAACACTATAATGTCCACCTTGATACCATGTGACTGCTCTGTCAACACTATAATGTCCACCTTGATACCACGTGACTGTTCTGTCAACACACTAATGTCCGACCTGATACCATGTGACGACTCCGCCAAGACTATAATGTCAACCTTGATACCATGTGACTGCTCTGTCAACACTATAACATGTATAATGTCCACCCTGATACCATGTAACTGCTCTGTCAACAGACTCATGTCCACCCTGATACCATGTGACTGCTCTGTCAACACTATAATGTCAACCTTGATACCATGTGACTGTTCCGTCAACACTATAATGTCCACCTTGATACCATGTGACTGCTCTGTCAACACTATAATGTCCACCTTGATACCATGTGACTGTTCTGTCAACACTATAATGTCCATCTTGATACCACGTGACTGTTCTGTCAACACTATAACATGTATAATGTCCACCCTGATACCATGTGACTGCTCTGCCAATGCTATAATGTCCACCTTGATACCATGTGACTGCTCTGTCAACACTATAACATGTATAATGTCCACCCTGATATCATGTTACTGCTCTGTCAACACTGTAATGTCCACCCTGATACTATCTGACTGCTCTGTCAACACTATAATGCCCACCCTGATACTATCTGACTAATCTGTCAACACACTAATGTCCAACCTGATACTATGACTGCTCTGTCAACACTATAATGTCCACCCTGATACTATCTGACTGCTGTGTCAACTCTATAATGTCCACCCTGATAATGTCTGTCTGTCTCAAAGATCTCATCTGATCTCTGAACACCCTGCCCCCACCCACTTCTACTTACACGTTGCGAGGCCTGGATTGCACCCAGAGCTAACAGGGGACAGAAGAGGCAGGAGATGTAGGATAGCATCATGTAGTCAGGGGGTTGTGGGCCTGGGGGGTGTGGGCTCGGGGGTTGGATTGCCACGACCTGTGTATAACAAAATCAGGATATTTTATATATAAATATAATACACACAAAAATAAGTAAACAAACACAATGAAACAGAGCCATATAAGTCTCCATCTGTTAGGTTGTTTCAGATTCAGAAGCCTTGAAGGCTTTTACGCCGATTTAGAAGTGCAGTCTTCAGTCCCAGACGAATTTTGCGATTCTGCAGAAACGTTTGCAGAAGATGTGACTTACCACAGATACTGGACTTTCTTTTGGTCAATCAAAACACTATTTTTCCCTCCTTTTTTCTCAAGCTTTTCTGTCGAATTTTACACTCGAATGATGCCCAATGTTTTTACATGTGATTCAAACATACAAAATATGAATTCTACAATAAAATGAAATTTGAAAAACATAATTCTCACTTCTAAACGTTCTTATGGAATTATGACTCCCTAAAGTTGACACCTTAAACCAAACCAGAAATGTCTAAAGAGATTAAAATTTGTCAAAAGAAAGTTGTAATTAATTTTTGAGGGAAAATAGTTATCTTTTACTGACTTTTAGGTACTTTTACCGCAGAATCTTGATAAGTTCACCGCAGAATTTGACTTAGACTGAGAAGTAGCCAGGGCTGTACCATGCACTGACCATGCTGACATATCAGAGAGCAACTCTGTAGACAACTTGAGTTAGTAATTGGAGCCAAAGATGAGACTTGAGGATCACGAAGCGCATCATAGTATATGGGAATCTGTGTAGCATTTTAGCCTGTTTCGTTAATGTTAATGTTATATACCCACCGTCAAAAGAAACGCAAATTATAGTGAGTGAGTGAATGAGTGAGTGACTATGGTTTTACATTGCTTTTACCATTATTCCAGCAATATCACGGCGGGGGACACCAGAAATGGGCTTCACACATTGTACCCATGTCGGAAATCGAACCCGGGTCTTCCGCGCGACGAGCGAACGCTTTAACCACTAGGCTACCCGACCGCCCCGCAAGCTATGGAGAAGTATGAACGTTAGGAAGAGATGTTTCCAACTTGTAACACCTAGTGATATAACTAACAATCAGTCAAGTGTTACCACAGTGTCTTTATTCTTATCAAGATATGCTGCACCAGATTTCCAAACTTTACACGCTAATCCTGCACCAGACAAATGATGCATGTCAAGTCATCAATCTATGACGTCACATGTGATGCATTCATGACACACACATTATAGTTTGTTCATTTGTGCATAGAACCAATCTAATATCTTTTGAATACGAGTGATTCTTCACTTATTAACCAACATGTATGGTAGTCGCGTATCTTGTGCCGATGAGTATATATGTTATATGCTATATATATGTGGCTTTCTTGCACAATGTTTTCAGCAAAGCATTTGCTCTCTAGTCAAAGAATCAATGACGTGATTACGTCACAAATCAGCTCGAGAATGATACCAGTGGCCACGAAATGGATTTTAATTTACCGAAGGCGCCGATAATCTGCTGACATGGCTATTACAAAATGTGATGAAAAATAATTGTTCGTTATATTTGTAAGACATTGACTAACTCACCGTCACTTGATTGGCAGCTGCAGTCATCTCACTTTGTGGTTGTGGAAATCCTGACACCGGCGGGGCGTATCCTGACATCGGTGGGGTGTATCCTGGCATCGGCGGGGCGTATCCTGGCATCGGCGGGGCGTATCCTGGCATCGGCGGGGCGAACCCAGCCATTGCCTGCCCATATGATGGGGGAGCTTGAGTGGAAATTACAATCAATAATGTATCTAGTTGTAAGGTAGTGAGGGGTGGTCGGGTAGCCTAGTGGTTAAAGCGTTCGCTTGTCACGCCGAAGTCCCAGGTTCGATTCTTGACATTGGTACAATGTGTGAAGCCCATTTCTGGTGTTCCCCGCCATACTATTGCTGAAATATTGCAAAAAGCGGCGTAAAACCATACTCACTCACTGTAGTGGGGGTGAATATCACGTTACGCCTCAGCAAGTCAAATGTCTAATTAATAAATTGCAAGTCTCTAAATAGTCAGTATATTCGACAAACTGACAATCACCAGACACATATTGTAACGACAAACCAACCAAATGAAACTTTCGCGCTCACAAGGTTTGTCGGATCCCGGATTAGAACTTACGGCAATACCCACGCAACCTGTAATGGTCGTTATCAGGTGGCAAGGTATGGTCACGTGTCATCATGCTCATAATATCAATCACTCGATTATTTACATTGCCCCATGGTTGATCTAGATCTGCTCAGAGGCTGAGACCCCGAGTTTGCACAACGTTAGAAATTGGCACTCGTCCCCTCGTCCTTGCCAAACTTCCCAATAGTTAAGGTACCGAAAGGATAAGTAGAATTTTGCCCTTTTGGGGTTTTGCCATATCCGTGAGTATATGTAATTATAAGGACTAGTAGACTAAAACTGTTAAAATTGTCAGTACAACCCACAAATTGGAATTAAAAATGTACCAATTCATGTTGATATCGTCATGGTTATAACTAATGTTTTGCAGACTTGTTTTTTTTCCCACTGATAACAGGAGTCGGACCAATTCCTTATTCTGTACAAAATAATATATGTATGTTCGCACTTTGCCTGCCACCTTGTTTTGAATCCTAGATAAATCTTCATTCAAAATTAGAAACAGTAGACAGTTATTTTGCACATTTAGCATTGGCCTGTTTTGCTACATGCATCAAGGATCATTCAGAGACCTTAAGTTTTACTGGGCTTAAACTAGAAAAAGTAAGAAATATGGCTCCACCCCACACAGTCTTCCTGTACAAAGAATGAAGACACACTGGGATTGTCACATTGTACCTAGACTTTGAGTTGCCTCCCCTTGACCATTAACTTGGAGACGGTAATATTCCATGTACAAGGGTTATTTATTTAAATTCAATTTCAAATATAAACTTAGACAGATAAACGTGATCTGGTATAACTACAAGTAACATTCAAGTAAAGGTTCTTCCAATTCTACAAATCAAAAGTATAGATTGAATTAATTAACTATATCCATGTATTTGCAAAATAGAAATAAACAGAAAACTACTTGATCAGCATATCAATTTGATGTCTGAGTCACAAACATAAACGCAAAACATCTACATATTTTAATTCATCTCTGAATAGCAATTCAATACAGATGTCATGTTGTTTTGGTACAGTTGACATAAATGGGACATTATTAACTTATTATAGATAGTATAAACAAAATGAGCCACCCTTCCCTCAACCAAACTTTGAAATTAACAAATTCTTATTTATAAATGGATTAAGGATTTATTTAATAATTTACCAAGGCCTTTTTTTTGATGAACACAGGGTTAGCTTTTAAATACAAATTTATGACAATGTTTTGTCGCACAAAATGGGAACAATTCATGATTTTCTTCACATTTTCATAGGACATTCTTCAATAGCATGACTAAAATTTAAAACAACAACAACAATGTCCTAAAACATAAGCCATCTGAAAAACCTGAAAACAAGAAGTGCACAATTTATTGTCAACGAAATATGTAAGAGATCCGGATGTAAAGAACTGATAGATCTAGGCGAATTTAAACCCAGTTTAATATAAAGACTTATAAAAATATTTTAAGTCATGAAAGAATCATTCGATTATCATCATTCAGTGTTTGTTTGTACCTGTATGTTGTAAAACTAGCCCATTTCGGGCATTAGGATTAGCTGCCTTCTGGACCATTAACTCTGTTGTTTTAGACTTCCATTTTGTAGTTTCTTCGGTCACAGAACCATGACATATAATCAAATATTCTATACTAGTACTCTTCGTATTCGTCTGCGAATTTATTTGCAGAGAATATTAGTTACAATATCACGATCCTGGGCTTCGGTGAAGAATTTATTAACATTAGTGTATCCGACTGTCCCTTATCAAAGAGTGGTATTTATGTCTTATAAGGGGCAGATAAACTGTTTATATTCATTTTGAATCTTGGCTATGTGAGCAAGGTTTTGTCTTTTTGTCTTTGAGGTAAGGCACAGCAAGATCAAGCGTATCCGAGATGTCACGAAATTAGGATACAGACATAGCCAATGTTTCAGGGTTTCCCCTTGTTTACATCATGTTTTCGCGTGATGTTCTGTGGATAAGTGCTAAACCATCGCTGTTTTGTAAGGTGTATTCAAGTGGGAAAAAGATAAAGAAGTCCCAGAGTTATAGAAAGTGTGATCACTGTTTCTTCGCTAGATATGCGAATCTAAAGATCATTAATTTCGTTCAGCCTAGACCTTGGCTAAACATGGCCGAAAAACGCCGTGAACGCCGATTTTTCAAACAAAATGCCTACTTCCTTCCCTTAATTTCTGCCTGCGAATGAATCGAATACAACGTACCCGCAGTCATGATGTGAATCGGAACAATTTCAAAATCTTCTGTTAACTTGTAGTGCCGTTGGGGTTTGATAGCAACTTTCTCATCGTTGACGTGTATCGATCAAGGAAAACCCTTTTCAAAACGAGGCTTTGACCTATGTTGCCTCCCATCTTCACGTCGCTTCACCAAGGTCGAGGTCGTCTGTACCGTCACTCTAGCAAATGACACCATGTTGCTAATAGCATGAAATTCCGTTTTACATTGAACAGTTACTGGATTTGAAAAAAAGTGAATATGTCGAAATAAATTGGAAATGTCCTTGTGAATAATTGATGAAAAGCAATTTGTGTTCACGCAAGTTACACATGAAGTTAAATCTGTACGTGGTTAGACTGAGATCGCCAAATTAATATAACACGCTTCCGTAAACTGTATCTAGTTTACATTACAAACCCATACTCCCATATTGTACGAAAATTCATAAAATACTTCAGATCTACCTAAACTTACAAACTAATTTGTTTTGCAGTTAAAACACTCGTCATAAGAATAAAACCAGAACAAAATTTAAGCTGAACATCATAATCTTTATACACCCTTTCATAATTCAAATGGACCCGTGAAGATTCCGGGGTAAAATCCAAGCAACCCAAGCTTGCCGTAAAATGGTGACTATGCTTGTTGTAAAAGGCTACTAACGGGATCGGATGGTCTGGCTCGCTGACTTGGTTGATGCATGTCATCGATCCCAATTGCGTGGATCGATGCTCATGACATTAATCACTGGATTGTCTGGTCCAGACTCGATAATTTACAGACCGCCGTCATAAAGCTGGAATATTGCTGAGCGCGGCGTTAAACAACAAACCAACCAAACCAATCATAATTCAAATGACGTACGACCTTGCCAGAAATCCCAGCAGCATGGGTGTTTAATCCTAGAAAGAACAACAACTAAACATAAATAACTATTGCCTGGTAATGTACTGCGTCGTCTGTTAGAGGTTTTGCATATTCTTTATGAATGAGTGAGTTGGGTTTAACGCCGCTTTGAACAGTATTCCAGTTATATCACGGCGTGTCAGCTTAATGTGGGAGGAAAGCCGAAGTGATGCAGGTCTCAGACGTTTACAACTTTGGTGGGACCCACGAGCACGGGTTTAGTGCTGACAGACCTCGTAACATACTCGTGGCGAAACGGGATTCGAACCCACGTTCACAGGTTTCTGACGTCCCGAAGGGACGTAACTCTTTATAATATGTGTGCCGTCATTAACATACAACTTCGCGATACCAGGACCTTCGATACAATACATGATATTAATACTTAACTTCGTGTGAATGTTGTAACATTAAAATTGTGTAAGATTCTCAATTTTCAATATTCGAGAATTGGTAAGAGCATCTGCCCGGAGAGCGGAGGCCAGAGGTTCGGCCTCCAGGCCGCGTCATATAAAAATTGTGTTAAAAGATGGTATATTTATAATTGGTTAGCTCACCTGGTGCTCGGCTCATAGGAAACCAAGCAAGAGTTGACGTTTACAGAGGAAGAAGTGTCCTAATTCTGATGCCTTCAATAACGGGGGATAGCCCGGATATGAAGTTAACAGAGGAAGGGGTGTCCTGATTCTGATGCCTTCAATAACAGGGGATAGCCCGGATATGACGTTTACAGAGGAAGAAGTGTCCTGATTCTGATGCCTTCAATAACGGGGGATAGCCCGGATATGACGTTTACTGAGGAAGAAGTGTCCTAATTCTGATGCCTTCAATAACGGGGCATAACCCTGATATGAAGTTAACAGAGGAAGAGGTGTCCTGATTCTGATGCCTTCAATAACGGGGGATAGCCCGGATATGAAGTTTACAGAGGAAGGGGTGTCCTGATTCTGATGCCTTCAATAACGGGGGATAGCCCGGATATGACGTTTACTGAGGAAGAAGTGTCCTAATTCTGATGCCTTCAATAACGGGGCATAACCCTGATATGAAGTTAACAGAGGAAGAGGTGTCCTGATTCTGATGCCTTCAATAACGGGGGATAGCCCGGATATGAAGTTTACCAAGGAAGAAGTGTCCTGATTCTGATGCCTTCAATAACGGGGGATAGCCCGGATATGAGTTTAAAGAGGAAGGGGTGTCCTAATTCTGATGCCTTCAATAACGGGGGATAGTCTTGAAATGAAGTTTACATAGAAAGGGGTGTCCCGTTTCTGATGCCTTCAATAACGGGGGATAGTCTGGATATGAAGTTTACAGAGGAAGAGGTGTCCCGTTTCTGATGCCTTCAATAACGGGGGATAGTCGGGATATGAAGTTTACAGAGGAAGAGGTGTCCCGTTTCTGATGCCTTCAATAACGGGGGATAGTCGGGATATGAAGTTTACAGAGGAAGAGGTGTCCTAATTCTGATGCTTTCAATAACGGGGGATAGTCGGGATATGAAGTTTACAGAGGAAGGGGTGTCCTAATTCTGATGCCTTCAATAACGGGGGATAGCCCGGATATGAAGTTAACAGAGAAAGAGGTGTCCTAATTCTGATGCCTTCAATAACGGGGGATAGCCCGGATATGAAGTTTACAGAGGAAGAAATGTCCTGATTCTCATGCCTTCAATAACGGGGGATAGCCCGGATATGACGTTTACTGAGGAAGAAGTGTCCTAATTCTGATGCCTTCAATAACGGGGCATAACCCTGATATGAAGTGAACAGAGGAAGAGGTGTCCTGATTCTGATGCCTTCAATAACGGGGGATAGCCCAGATATGAAGTTTACAGAGGAAGAAGTGTCCTAATTCTGATGCCTTCAATAACGGGGGATAGCCCGGATATGAGTTTAAAGAGGAAGGGGTGTCCTAATTCTGATGCCTTCAATAACGGGGGATAGTCTTGAAATGAAGTTTACTTAGAAAGGGGTGTCCTGATTCTGATGCCTTCAATAACGGGGGATAGCCCGGATATGAGTTTAAAGAGGAAGGGGTGTCCTAATTCTGATGCCTTCAATAACGGGGGATAGTCTTGAAATGAAGTTTACATAGAAAGGGGTGTCCTGATTCTGATGCCTTCAATAACGGGGGATAGCCCGGATATGAGTTTAAAGAGGAAGGGGTGTCCTAATTCTGATGCCTTTAATAACGGGGGATAGTCTGGATATGAAGTTTACATAGGAAGGGGTGTCCTGATTCTGATGCCTTCAATAACGGGGGATAGCCCGGATATGAGTTTAAAGAGGAAGGGGTGTCCCAATTCTGATGCCTTCAATAACGGGGGATAGTCTTGAAATGAAGTTTACATAGAAAGGGGTGTCCTGATTCTGATGCCTTCAATAACGGGGGATAGCCCGGATATGAGTTTAAAGAGGAAGGGGTGTCCTAATTCTGATGCCTTCAATAACGGGGGATAGTCTTGAAATGAAGTTTACATAGAAAGGGGTGTCCTGATTCTGATGCCTTCAATAACGGGGGATAGCCCGGATATGAGTTTAAAGAGGAAGGGGTGTCCTAATTCTGATGCTTTCAATAACGGGGGATAGTCTGGATATGAAGTTTACAGAGGAAGAGGTGTCCCGTTTCTGATGCTTTAAATAATGGTTGGTGATCCAGATATGAAATTTACAGAGGAAGAGGTGTCCTATTCTAATGTTTTCAGTAACGTGCGATGTATCAAATCCGGCGTTTCAAGCGGTGTGGTGATTCCGAGATTTATGGTTTCCAAGTGTCCGTGGTATACTGATTTCAGGGGCGTGAGAAATATAGATTCTGATATTTACAGTGGCGTACAGAATCCATTACGTGAGACGTTGGAATGCACCGTGTACATGAAGTATGGGGTGTTTAGGGCTTCAAGGCACTGACATTTGACATGAGGTGATATCTGGATTAAGCGGTGTCCGGAATGTGCGTTTACGAAGTGTAAGGTTTAAAAACTATAGTCCATATCTGGATTAAGAGGTGTCCGGAATGTACGTTTTACGAAGCATAAGGTTAGCAGAATATAGTCTTTTTATGGAGTAAGAGGTGTCCGAAAGTAAAAGTTGGTTCTTTCCAAAGTGTTAGGTTTCCAGTATACTGAGTGTCCACGCTACACAGTTCCATGGTGACACCAATAAAACCACACCTAATATGACTCCGTTAATACAGCTCAGAATTAAACACAACAAATATCATCATTTTGTGTAGAAAACAGTTTAATTACTTTGAACAATAAATGTATGAAAACAATTAACAAAGAAAGATCCAAACGGTAGGTAAAAACACTAATCAAGAAAATATGCGAGTCAGATCTGAGCTATTAAAAATCTCTTGGTTGCTCAATGTCCAGTATTTACAAAAGTACTGTTTAATTCTTTTCCTTAAAAAAATGAGCTTTGCTCATAAAATATGAGCTATTACAGCAGCATACAGAACATATATATACACGTTTACCCTTATGACAAATTTTATAACACTAAAATCAACGGCAGCCATGTTATTTCTGATAACAAAGCCTGTTGTTAGAGGGTACCTATGAGTACGAATACAAACCGCAACATTGTCACGCTAAGGTATAAAAGAAACGACAAAAGACACAAAGAATAATCACTATTATGCATATAATTTGTCATCACACATATTTTATGAAATGATAACATAATTTCAGAAACACGACAGCTGCACTGTTTAATATTTGCATTGCTTTATTTTCATCACAAGGCACATTCTTGATCAAAGATGGCTCGTTCTCTTTTCCCGCAGACAAATCTTGAAACCAGTTTAAGTCTTGACATTGATAACAAATGCCGCCATCTTGTAAGGCAAATACATTGATAACAAATGCCGCCATCTTGTAAGGCAAATACATTGATAACAAATGCCGCCATCTTGTAGGGCAAATCATATCCCGGCTAGTGATAATTTCCTAATCACCCAAATTAAGTTATGACGAGGCCTATGTAGAGATTACAAACATATTGAATACAGTAAAAATTGAATTCTATTTATGTGAATTTCAAATGTAAAGAATTTGCAAATGTTCGTCAAATATGAAAACAATCAGATCGTTTGTGAATCTCACTAAATCGGCCATCTCCGTAATGACTGTCAACGAAAGATGGAGTAAACTGATGCTGATTTATCATGGATACGGTTGTTATGGAGACGTGATTGACAAAAAGAGCACGCTTGTGAAGAAACGTCACCCGTGTCGGTCTGTTTCCAGAGATGCCAGGAACTGATTTAATGTGGTATTTCATGAAAGTCCCCTTGTCCAAGGGCAGATAACTTTTCTCGGTACCCTAAAGTTACCCCCCTTGGATATAATACTTCCCAGTGATGGTCCGAATGAAAGTTTGTCATAATTTGGTAGCCAGTCTGGACTCTTCAGTCAAATCCAGTCGAGTTAAGTATACTAAAGATAATTCAGGTTTGTATTTACAGTTTATTGAGAGTAGCGTTGTGGTCCGCTTCAGATGTTATCCGTAGTAATAGGTAGAAGTGTACGTAGACACCAATACAACACGGAGAATGATTGCCACGACGACGATAATAATGCCGATTACTATGGCAGCAATGGCGATATTCCTGGCTGTTCGCCCTTGATTCTCGGCTGACACAAAGTCACCGGCAGAGGACGAGTTTCGGGACTGAAATTGATAAAAAAAAGGCATATTATAACATTTAAACATATAAAAAAATGTAAAAACATAGAATAAAATATTTTAAAAGAATATATGAAATAAATTAAAAACATAAGTCATAATAACAACAACAACAACAATAATAATTAAAAAAATTACTTTTGCGGCGTAAAACAATATTGAATCACTATGACCTACACACACTCTGGAGTACTTACGTTGTTGGCGTACATGAGGGCGCATATAGCCATTGGCCAGCAGAAGAAGCAGGACACGATGGAGAGGATCAGGTAGTCTGGGGGTCGAACTCCTGTCTGGACAATCATGGCCTGTGGTTGGGCGACCTGGATAGCATCATCATCATCATTATCATCATCATCATCAACAACATCATCATCATCATCATCATTATCATTGACTTTTCGCATACTCTGAACAGTCGGCGCCAGAAAGCACCCAACGACCTGGATAGCATCATCATCATCATTGACTTTTCGCATACTCTGAACAGTCGGCGCCAGAAAGCACCCAACGACACAATTCATGATAAACCACCCTTTGAACCCCCGGCGGGACAAACAACCTACAGGACAAATCACAGAAAACCCCACGTGATAACCCTCTGAACACCCAACGGGACAGACTACAAACAGGACAAAGTACAGAAAACACCAAATGACAACCCTCGAAAACACCTCGGGACAGAATACCAAAAGGACAAAGTACAGAAAACACCAAATGACAACCCTCGAAAACACCTCGGGACAGAATACCTACAGGGCAAATAACAGAAAAACCCATATGACAACCCTCGAAAACACCTCGGGACAGAATACCTACAGGGCAAATAACAGAAAAACCCATATGACAACCCTCGAAAACACCTCGGGACAGAATACCTACAGGGCAAATAACAGAAAAACCCATATGACAACCCTCGAAAACACCTCGGGACAGAATACCTACAGGGCAAATAACAGAAAAACCCATATGACAACCCTCGAAAACACCTCGGGACAGAATACCTACAGGGCAAATAACAGAAAAACCCATATGACAACCCTCGAAAACACCTCGGGACAGAATACCTACAGGGCAAATAACAGAAAAACCCATATGACAACCCTCGAAGACACCTCGGGACAGAATACCTACAGGGCAAATAACAGAAAAACCCATATGACAACCCTCGAAAACACCTCGGGACAGAATACCTACAGGGCAAATAACAGAAAAACCCATATGACAACCCTCGAAGACACCTCGGGACAGAATACCTACAGGGCAAATAACAGAAAAACCCATATGACAACCCTCGAAATCACCTCGGGACAGAATACCTACAGGGCAAATAACAGAAAAACCCATTTATCAACCCTCTGAACACCCAACGAGGCAGTCTACATACAGGACAAACTACAGAAACGCCAATATGACAACCCTTTGAAAACACCTCGGGACAGATTACCTACAGCACAAATAACAGAAAACCCCACATTACAATCCTCTTAATTATAAAATACAACAAAACTTACTCAAGATTGCCCACAAGATGGCCCACGGACAGTTCAAAGGTCAACCTACAGAACGTGTCACATGGTACTTCTAGGGACGACCCAGGGGGCAATTCAAAGATCAACCTACATAAAATGTCACATGGTACTTCTAGGGACGACCCAGGGGGCAATTCAAAGATCAACCTATAGAAAATGTCACACGGTAATTCTAGGGACGACCCACGGGGCAATTCAAAGATCAACCTACAGAACGTGTCACATGGTAATTCTTGGGCGACCAGCGGGGCAATATAAGGAACAAGACAGGGTGCACAGCAAACAACAAGAAACACCAGAACACGTACTCATTCACTGCACACACTACCAAACACACCGAACCACACTACAAACCACCCTAAATCTTAATACTGCACTTACTCTAGAATCAATCCTAAATCCACAAAATAAATTAGAAAAATTCAAAAAGTTAGGCATATACTTAATTAAAACTAATTAGTCGCATTTAAACCCCAAATAAACTAATAAAACCAAAATCACATAAACTAACAAACCACCCACCACACACAGCTCCCTTAGTTCGCCCCCTACCCACTCTTGGCATTCATTACAAATCTCAAAATTACTATATAAGCAACCCTTAAACCCCCCTCCGGGGTTGCACCACCACTTCCTTTCCCCCCTTTCGGAAACACATTAAATGGCCTGGCGGGCCCGTGTGCGATATACGCCTGCAATTGGAAAGCGCACGTAAAATCTCCAAAATAAGTAAGTAAGCACCCTATAGAACAATCAAAGGGACAACCAACGGTCGATTACTACAAAGTGTCTAACGCTATCTGACACAGCCCTGTACTAAGTGTCAGTGTTTTTCTTAAGTGCAACAGTTGGATATGAACTAAATCATACAAATGGCACCGAATCAATGACACCGGCTGCTGAAATCTTTACAAACTGAATATTGATTTGAAACACCTGGTATACACTATTAATACTTTCACTCAAGTGTTCGCCCGTCCACATTCACATCACGCATACACGGAAGGTTCCGAAGCAAAGTTGTTAATTATTTTAAGGAAGTAATTTATATATTGATAAATCATATCTAAATAGTTCGAACAATTCGTCCTCACATTTGCGTTAATATCACATTTATTCATCTTCTGAGAGAGCGATTTATAACGTGAAGCCGAATATGAACTGGCCTTATAACAAAGAGCTTGACATTATGACAATAACCAACGCTCTTGTTGACTAGGTGGATGAACAAACAGTGAGTCATGCTGTTGCTGGCGTGGCACTTGAAAGGACGGGGCTAGCTCCAGTATTGCCACGACAATCGGTCAGTTTACAGAGTTGGCGCACTATCGGGAAATTGATAGGCATTCAGCTGGTAGAAGGCAGAAATCAATTCCACATATGCTTAGATGTCTAATTTCGAAACATCCGGCCAGCTCTTAAATAAGTACACAAATTAGGAGGTGTTTACAACTCAAATGTCGAATGCCAAGCATCATTTTCAAGGTCACGTTGGACTTCATTCGATTTAGTTTAGTTGTGAAAACATGGACACTATCGTTTAATTAATGGTCATGTTAATGATAATAAACAAAAGGATATTTTTATGAATGTGTAATGGTCTATATTCATTCACAATCTAAGATTTTGATAAAAAAACAAAATGATGCATAAGGGTTAAGCTATTTCATAATGGTTTTAAAATGTTATTTAAAATTATTTTAATTATATGTTTACTATACCATAGAATGAAGACTATATATTTATCAAGACTGGTGAAATAGATCTTAGTCATGGCTGCATTCAGAAAATTAAAACAAATTCTCTCATGTTGCCTTCATGCAGTGTGTGATTTACTCTGTAAACGGCGCTGACTGGAGTGAGTGAGTGAGTGAGTGAGTGAGTGAGTGTGTTGGGTTTAACAGTATTCCAGTTATATCACGGCGTGTCAGCTTAATGTGGTCTCAGACGTTTACCACTTCGGTGAAACCCACGAGCACGGGTATGGTGCTGACAAACCTAGATACATAATCGGGGCGAACCGGGATTCGAACCCACAATCATAGGTTTCTGGCGTGTCCAAGGGACGCAACTCTGCACAGCGAATAGTGGCACCTGTCTAGACTGGGCCACCCGTGCCCCCGCCATGACAGGAACATCACAGTCATCAACAAGGGTAATGATTCCATTAAACATGGAAGTCACGAGAACTATAACCTTTTGTCACCTTATCAAGAGGAAATATTCATTTGTTTGATTTTAGTCGACAATAGCTAGGGAAGTGTGGCCTCGATCCCCAATCTGATAAAGTTATTTCCTTTCATGTCATGTTTTATTTATAGGCGCGGTGGGGTAGTCCGTAGTTAAAGCGTTCGCTCGTCACACCGAAGACCCGTGTTGATTCCCCTCATGGGTACAATGTGTGAAGCCCATTTGTAGGATCCCCCGCCGTGAAATTGCTGGAATATTGTTAGAAGCGTCGTAAAACCATACACACTCATATCTATGACCATTGGGCCTATGTTAATATTTATATATGTATGGGGATGACGAGCACCGCTCCTTATTCTAACGTTAACTTGCTATTATAGTCGACTGAATTGTTACAAACGGGGTAGAATAGGTCTTCAGCAACCCATGCCTGCCGTAACTATACTTGTCGATAGAGGCAACTAAGGGGATCAGGTGGTCAGACTCGCTGACTTATTTGATGCATGTCATCGTATCCCGATTGCGCGGATCAATGCTCATGATGTCAATCACTGGATTGTCTGGTCCAGACTCTATTATTTACAGACCACCGTCATGTAGCAGGAATATTGCTGATTGCGGCGTTAAACAACAGACAAACAGACTCAAATATGTTGCTTTTTCCAACTTCAAAATGACCTATAGAATGCTGTATTCGAATTCTATAAAATATATTTGAATTTGCTGCAGACAATATAATATCATATTCGAACATGTTAAAGGCGATATAATATTATATTCGACTTCGTTAACACTGATAAGATACTACATTCGACTTAGTTACATCCAATGTAATGCTATATTCGACTGACGGCAAAATATATAATGCTATATTCGACTTCGATACATCCGAAGTTGCCTGTCTGTGTCAACTTACCACCACGTTGACGTTATCTGACGTGGCGTAGCCGTATCCTGGCTGGCCGGGCTGGCCATATCCGGGTTGAGGTTGTCCATATCCGGGCTGGGGTTGTCCATATCCGGGCTGGGGTTGTCCATATCCGGGCTGGGGTTGTCCATATCCGGGCTGGGGTTGGCCATACCCGGGCTGGGGTTGTCCATATCCGGGTGGGGGCTGTTCAGGGTATCCTGTCTTTTCTGAAACGATAATGTATGCAATAATGATATTTCTCTTGTATGAGTTTGCGAGTATGGTTTTACATAGCGTTAACATATTTGGGAACGGCGGCGGCCCGGCTGTCTAGGCCGGCGTAAGTCACTGTGCAGAGTTGCGCCCCTTAGGTGTGTCAGAAACCTATGACCGAAGATTCGAGCTGATTTTATTTCTAGGTTGGTCAGCACTAAACCAATACTCGTGGGTTTCACCAAATTGGTAAACGTCTAAGACCTGTATCATTTGTTTGGTTTTCCTCCAGCACGAAGCTCACACACCACGATATAATTGAAAGAGGCATAAAGGGGGCACTCAAGGCCAGCTTCAACCGTCTTAGGGTGCTAAGCTCCAGGATTTTTCGAATGTTTCCGCAAAATTTAAAGTATCAACCTTCTGTTCAGTTACCATTCTTGGTTACAGATATGGATCTATGAATTACAATTCCAAATAGAGTATATCTAATATATATATATATGATAAGATAATTAGACATAAAGCAAGAGAATCTCTCTCCTAACAGCACTTGGTTTAACCCACCCTAGCTACAACATGGGGGCGTGTTGATTGCTTTAACCCATCCTAGCTACAACATGGGGGCGTGTTGATTGCTTTAACCCACCCTAGCTACAACATGGGGGCGTGTTGATTGCTTTAACCCACCCTAGCTACAACATGGGGGCGTGTTGATTGCCCCTCGACTGACATTTAGTCCCAGAAATAAAATCTTATTAATTAAAATATATCTACAAAATAAAAAAGACATAATCAAAACGGATCCCAGAACAAGCCTAATTTCAGAGCTGAGACGATCTAGACTTGCCACATCATTCTAGGCTTGAGTTGGACTCATTTTTAATTTATGCTCAGGAGCCAGGGAGACAGGCTAGATTGGCCTTTGCATGGCTCCATTCAGGACTCCCGCTGAGCACAGCAGGGTGGCACTCCTATTTGGTACTGCAGCTAAATAAATTACTCACTGCTGGCACACAATGCACACCTAATCATGCACACAATGCACACCATGCACACCTAATCATGCACACCATGCACACCTAATCATGCACACCTAATCATGCACACCATGCACACCTAATCATGCACACAATGCACACCATGCACACCTCACCATGCACACAATGCACACCTAATCATGCACACCTAATCATGCACACAATACACACCATGCACACCTAACCATGCACACAATGCACACCTAATCATGCACACAATGCACACCTAATCATGCACACCATGCACACCTAATCATGCACACAATGCACACCTAATCATGCACACCATGCACACCTAATCGTGCACACAATACACACCTAATCATGCACACAATGCACACCTAATCATGCACACCACGCACACCTAATCAGTAAAGGAGTATTTGGTTGGGGCAATATAAATATTTTTCTCAGAGGATAATCATTGCCAAGGCATGCCTCTGTAAATATGCAATAAACAACAACTTGAAACGTATTATTAGATACATTCATTTCAGATTACAAGAGAGGTGAAAAAACCTCGCAGTTAGCGAGCAGATGTATCTTTCCAATATATTATTTAGCAAAACATATCACTTGGTACAATATCACAATATTTAGAGAATAATAAACTACGTATCTATATTATCAAATTAAATCTGATAAATCCTGTATGATTCTATAGATATAAAGACCGCCTCCGTGGTCTAGTGGTAGAGCGTCCGCCCGGAGAGCGGAAGGTCCGGGGTTCGATCCCCTGCCGCATCATACCAAAAGACGTTAAAAGATGGCACTTGTTGTTACCCTGTCTGGCGCTCGGCATTAAAGGGCTAAAACAAGGACTGGTCGGCTCGGAGTCAGTATACTGTGTCTGAGTCGGGTATTCATGTTAAACTGCGGCATGATATCTCAGTGAGCTAGCACAATAAATCGGCATCAGTCCGGACTAGTACAAGCGGCCACACACACACATACATGTGCATGCACGTCGCTATATAAGTGCAATAATCTTGGGCGCGACGTTAAACCCAATTTCACCTCACCTCACCTATAGATATAAAATGCCTAATAAACAATCTGGTATCACTGTTGGTGGTTGTTTTGTAAATAGCTGTCACTCCGAGACAAACAACAGCACAGGGCGGTCAGTGGATGACGTAACTCCGTCAACCTAAGACATAGTTCAAGCGTCGCCCCTACAATACGTGAGCATCTGCTGTCCCCTTCTGACCTCATGGGTTCGAGATTCGCCCCTTTAAACCAAACTCACTGACTCATGAACAATGTTCCAGCTGTATAGCGGGGAAGGACACCAAGAACAGGCACCACACATCGTACCCACTGATATTAGTCCTGCACCATGACCGTGGAATATATTTATTGTATGAGAATTAAATATATCTAGAAATGCCTAAAAAAGCAAGTCTAGCCAGCTCAAGCTAGCTCTATCCCACCTGAAATCATCATAGGCAATTTTTATTTTTTTTAGAGTCAAGAAGGATATTGTGTAATATAAAGTTTTAGAGACTAAATGTTAGTCTACCACTGATATCTAAGGGAATCGGGGCGGTCAGGTAGCCTAGTGGTTAAAGCTTTCGCTCGTCACGCCGAAGACCCGAGTTCGATTCCCGACATGGGTACAATGTGTGAAGCCCATTTCTGGTGTCCCCCGCCGTGATATTGCTAAAAGCGGCGTAAAACCATACTCACTCACTCACTCACTCACTCACTCTAAGGGAATCTAAACAGGACCGTCGTTGCGGCGAAGGTTAAGCACCAGAGACCCAGTCTGCATAGCCTATCCTACAGTCCCCAACCATATTTCAATCCCTTTCTCCTAGTCCCTACTGTCATGCTGTAGCTCCAGATGAAGCAAGTCTAGACTTGGCAAAGGATCCTACCTCACTGGAGCTCCTTTTCAAAATAAATGAAGTTGTTTGTTTCGATCAAAATCATATGTTTTCAGAGACTAAGCTTTGGGACACAGTGTATCCTATCATATGTGGTTTATACATTATCTACTAAAGTCCTATTGCTATTATTCCACTGACTTATAATGTCTGTATGGAAACCATCTTGCCTATTTTAGAATCATTATCAAACGACGACCAGTGAACATACCTTTTACGTGTAGTCATGTGATTATATTTGTTGCGTTAAAGATAATGTCTTTGGTATTCATATCAGCGCCAGTAATCTGTTAAAGTGGTGTATGGCCAATGACGCATACACAAGTAACATGTCAATGGCTTAGGGTTGCTCCAGTAGCCCTTGACGGAACAGAAAAATGTTTCGTTACGTGGGCAAGGACGTCAATTCATGTCGTTAAATGGCACACGACAATACCCGTGCGCAAACACAGACGAAATACATGACACTCGTGGATATTGTGTTTCCAACAGATCGGCCTGATGATAGCATTTGCACAATGGGTGCTTTGTCCAATACAAATTCTGCCAGCCACATCGTTTAAGTAATCACAAACTGAAAATTGAAAAAAATGGTGGATATACAAAAACACCCCATTGGAACAACGTCTCTGTGAAACATGTGATGTCTCAGAAGATGAACAACATTACGCACGGTCTTGTATAAAATACAACCAAGAAAGAGAATCACAAATAATCCTCAATCATGAAAAAGAATTTGGTACACTCTGTTAAAAGGAACAGTTCTTAATAATTTTACCAACAGTTATCCAGAAACAACTTCCAAGATCTGTTATCATATCACCAATTACAAATTCCTTGTATGTACAACATTCCCATAGTTTTGCTAAATTCTCATATTGTTTCCATATCATTATAATACACTTGTTTTGAAATAAAATTGTTATAATGTACCTCCTTTGTATGTTGAATGTACCTGTGTTTTTTAATTGTCATTTATTGTGCATGTATTTTGTAGTTTGTGATAGTGTAATATTGCCACTGTCTCTTCATGGAATGTTCCGCAATACATATCTCATCTAAAACATATTTGTTGTATGATAGTTTCTTACAGTTGTGTACGGGGGCAAGGTCGCCGAAGTCGCTGTAATTCGCTATGCAGAGTTGTGTCCCTTGGGCACGCCAGAAACCTATGACAGTGTGTTGAATCCCGGTTCGCCCCGATTTTGTTGTCAGCACAAATCCCGTGCTCGTTGGTTTCACCAAAGTGGTGAACGTCTAAGACCTACATCACTTCGGGGTTTCCTCCCACATAAAGCTGACACGGACTACTATTCACCGGCGTTAAACCCAACTCCCTCACTCACTCTTGTGTACGGTTCCGTTTGGTTAAACTGGGTTTGTGTTGTGATTGCTTCCAGATTAGATTTGAAGTATGTTTGGAAGAATATTACTATGTTAAACCCAAACATCGTGAAGATATCATGCAACCGTATTATCTTTCAGGAAAATAATTGCAAACTACAGATCAACCTGTTGATTTCCTATGTATCCAGGAACAAAGAACATATGCGGGTGTATAATCAGTAAAAAATCTGTTTAAAAAACTGTCAAAGCATTAAACCATGCAGAACCGGAAACCGCCGCATGAAACGGTATGAATCATACATTACATACAGTGAACTACTTGAAACAATACTGTGCTCAACTATGCCCAGCAAGGGTCATACATGTGATTAAGAAGACAACTAATTACAAATTTCTCATATCAAACCCGTTGTTTTACATGTGTTGTTTATTGAACAAAGTCATACTTTATAGAAGCCTATTAGCCTTCGTGTTGAACAAAAAGTTGAAAGATTGAACGCGTGACAGGCTTGACCTAAATTCCTCCCTGGAACCTTTCTCGATGGCTGCCTGAATAACATACAATACATTGCAAAGGTTGTTGCAATAGAGCTTGAAAAAGGTACGATGTCCCGCATTGCAACGTCAGTGCAAGATAAAGCTCAATACTTCCCCTATGGCTAAAGGAGGTAATCGCCCAATGCGCAATAGTTTATTCTTACCAAATTTAGACCGGTAAAAACAAAAAGAACAAATGTC